ATGCCTGTGTGCCTGAGATGTTTTGGTACCTCTGTACTTGGAAGTTGCCCTGCCCACGTGCTAATCTTTCTTTAAGGCCCAGTTCTAGTCCAGCTTATCTAGACAGCTTTCCTGGGCCTCCCGGACAAGGTCATAAGTCGTCTCCTCTGCAAGTGTGCTTTTCTGCCTTACAGTTAATTACACAGTACGGGAGACTGGAGCGCAGAATGGGTCAGTATGCTCCAGGGTTCCCAGGGTCTAGCCCTGCATAGCACACAGTTCTCAGCATGGAGAGGCAGGTGGACAGATGCTGAAGGGTCACTGAATTGATGGATAGACGAGTGAACACATGCTAGATGAACAAGCAAGTTGTTGGGTAGTTGGGTACAGGTTGAATGGTAACCTCATGACAGTTTTCTGATCTTGACTTTCCTGCAGCGTCCAATGCCAAACAGCCAATCCACATGGTCTATGTCCCCTCCCACCTCTACCACATGCTTTTTGAGCTCTTCAAGGTGAGGCTGGGCCCTTGGGTGCCAAGAGGGTTGTTAGGATTAGCCTTTTTCTCCCTTATTTCTTACCTCACTTTCTCCATAGAATGCCATGCGGGCAACAGTGGAAAGCCATGAGTCCAGCCTTGTTCTCCCCCCTATCAAGGTCATGTTGGCCTTGGGAGAGGAAGACTTGTCCATCAAAGTATGTGATCCTTGATTCTGGGGACCAGGGACAGCGAGGGTAGGAGCTTCCACTTGCCCAAGATGGGCTCTCCTCTCCCTCTCTTCCCCTAGCCCACGTGGTGGGCTTAGATCCTGGGGTAAGGGTCAGAGGTGCCAGGGTGGAGCTGTGTGGGGAGCTCAGCTCTAATAAGACCCCAACATGTCCCGTCTTCCCCAGATGAGTGACCGAGGTGGGGGTGTCCCCTTGAGGAAGATTGAGCGACTCTTCAGCTACATGTATTCCACCGCACCCACCCCCCAGCCTGGCACTGGGGGGACCCCACTGGTGAGATAGCATCACTTCAGCCCCGTCTCTCACTTCCTTACCTCCTGTGGTCTCTCATTCTGTGGCTGGGTAGGGGGCCCAGAGGCCCCAGAGGCCCCACCTGTACCTGAGCCTCCCATCTCTCCCCAGCCTGCACTTGTCCAGCAGTCTGTCAAGTGGCTGTCTGTCTCTCACCTCCCCTCTGCCTATCTCCCTCTGCGTTACTGCCTTTTCTGTACATTGTTCAGTATACTAACACCTGTTAATTCCAGGGAGGAGGCTCACTCATTTTCTAGACTGGAAAATTGTGACTAGAGGCCTGTCCAGACTGGGACGCAGGGCTTCTGGTTGCTGGAGCAGAGCACCTCCACCTGCCTGATGATGTCCCTGCGCCCTCACATCCCCTCAGCCTTTCTCCCACCACCCAACTGATGCCCTACATCTCACCCATATCCTTAAAGCTTCCCCTTGCCTCCTCTCTACTCAGCTCCAGGAGCCCCTGCCCCCCGCCTGACCCCAGTTCAGAACTCTTTAGCCCACATCCTCCATCACTCCCATGCCATCCCTGCACGCCCAGGAAGCCAGGTGCCAGCCACCTCACCAGCCTGTGCCCTTCCTCCCCCTTGTAGGCTGGCTTTGGTTACGGGCTCCCCATCTCCCGCCTCTATGCCAAGTACTTCCAGGGGGACCTGCAGCTCTTCTCCATGGAGGGCTTTGGGACTGACGCCGTCATCTATCTCAAGGTCAGTCCCTGTCTGTGGAGTGGCTTGGGGGAGGGGTCTGCCAGGTGTTAGGGTTTACATCCTTCCCTCTGGGCTCCTCCTGGGCCCAGACTCTGGAATCGGAGCAGAGCTGCAGCTCCTCAGCCTGCAGTGCTCTCCCAGGCACCCACAGCTTTTCTGCTGTGCAGGGAATTCCAGGGTCCACAGTCAGAATTTAGACTGTGTTCAAGGACCTTGATGTTTGAGACCCAAGAGGAAGGGGAACCCAGGGATCCAGTCATCTGGCTCCTGGTGCTCAGACAGGGAAACCGAGGTTCAGAGTTGGGAACCTTGCTCAAGGTCCCACAGCTAGCTGCCTCCTCCTCCTCCCCTACCATCAGGCCGCTTTCTTGAATGGGCAGGCGCAGGACACAGAGGGCCAGGCCCTTTCCTGGGTCTCTCAGGACCCAAGGGCCTTGTCTCTGCAATGTCTGGTGTGTGAGCTTTGCTGACTCACACATGGATTGGGACATGGTGCCGGGATCAGAGACCACCACAGCCCACACAGGGGATGGGTGGTGTGCTAGGAGTTGGCATGGCTCAGGGACGTGGAGGGTGACGCTGATGCTCCCTAGGCCCTGTCCACGGACTCGGTGGAACGCCTGCCCGTCTACAACAAGTCAGCATGGCGCCACTACCAGACCATCCAGGAGGCCGGGGACTGGTGTGTGCCCAGTACGGAGCCCAAGAACACATCCACCTACCGGGTCAGCTAGGGCATCCTAGCTGATGCCCGAGAGGACATACTGCTGCCTCTGGGACCGGCCACCATGGTGACCTCCCTGCCCCCCAAGGTCTGGGGTAGGGAGTTTTCCCTGATGACCACCTTCAGTCTCTATGGAAATCACTGCAGTGACAGGTCTGTGGTGGCCCCCAAGTGCCAATCTCTGTCTCCATGGAGCTCCTTCTGTGGTCTCCTGGTTTCCAATCTTGGTAGGTGAAGCCTGAGAGTTGGGGAACATCTCCACCCTGATGGGGTGTCCCAGAGATGCTCTTCCATGACAGTCTTCCTCTCTGAGACTAGGCTATCACTCTTTCCTGGGGTCCCAGGTGGGTGCCCCTTCCTACCCTCCACAGCCCTGACCTTCATGTGAATGCCCCTGCTTGCCTTATTCTCCAGCCCTGGTCCTGGCCCCGTCAGTGTTAGGAAGGGACTGGGTACCTCTGGATCTGGAGTAGCGGGTGGAGAAAGCTCTGGTCAAGGACCAGGTCCTACACCCTCTTTCCACTCTGAACTCTTAAGTTCAAGGTTGTAGGGTAGCGAGGAGGCTCTCCTAGTGCCCTAAAGTAGAGGAACCCCAGGAGCCTAGGGGGGCAGCCTGCCTCACTGAGTTGCCTGTGGCCTTGCAGGTGCCTCAGCAGTGTTTTGCTCCCCCCCTGGCCCTTCCCAGCATGTACTCACATGCACACGCCCATCTGCCCATCTACCTGGTCCCCACCTAGGCCCTCGTCTCCTGCTGATCCTGGACACACAGGCTTGTGGTGGCTTATTCCCTAGAATCTTCTTATGTACATAGCTAGTTTTATAACCCTGAATGCTCTCCTACCCTTAGCACACGAGTTTAGGTTGTGTGCAATTCCTGCCAGTTACTGTGATGGTGACAGTGACAGCCACAGTAAAGAGGAGACTGAATGAGACTGTGGTCTGGCTGCCTTCCTGAGTCGGTCAGGGTGCAGGGACTTGGAGCACACACACCCACACAAACCCTGGCACTCTTTGATCAACACTTGACAGACTCGGCATCCCGCCCGGTTCAGTGTGGACCGCGAGTAGCAGTCTACAAAGCCATCCATTCAGAACGCCCGACGGCCCAGCAGCTGCAAACAGACTTACTGCCCACCACCCTCTGCCCAGCCCAGTCCCCTTACTCCACCCCACCCCCAGGTGGGGCAGACAGAAAAGTCACTGGCACATCATACGTGTTTATTGAAATAAGTTGAGAACCGTCTTCCCTCACATGCAGGTGGGCACCTACGCTAGTGCCTGACACCTTCAAGGACCCAGGTGCTTTCCCACTCTCCCAGCCCTCCAGCCCCAGATGGTGCTAATGTTTCCCTCTCTCGATCTCTTGAAGCCCTACTCCCTGCACAGATGGTCGGGAAGAAAAGGACTCAGTCCCAGGGGCTGGATCCTGTCCCCACCCAGGGTGACCCTGCAACTGAAGCCCCTAGACCTAGCAAGGCAGTGGCCCTCGGAGAGAGGGGCTCACCTGAACTCCCCACGGGAATGAGGGGAGTCAGCATGCACTCGTTTATCTGTCCACCCTTCCGGGCAGGTGGGAGGAGAGGGACAGGCCAGTCAGAGCCTAATTTATTGGCAGCTGTGACTTGGGCCCCAGCTGCAGGCTCCCTCTCAAACATTCCCTAACAAGGACACGTGCCTATCTCCCAGACTGCGGCTGTGATCGTTGGGATGGAGCTGGCCTCAGCCCCCACCCATCCTAGTAGCCCATGGAACGGACCCACCTGGCCCACCAGTTCTGGAGCCCACCAAGACTTTGATGAGGACCCAGGTTAATGAGGGTGTGCTGACAAACCCTCCCACGTTTTGGCCCTGCCCCACTGGGGTGACGAATCATGAGTTCCTCACTGCGTAGGCAGTGCTGGTGGCCTGTCCTTGTTCTCTGCCAGCTCCAGGTTTGCCCCACCCCCCAAAGAGGGCCCAGGTGCCTCTGAAGGTCCAGCAGAACAACTCCTGGCTTGGGGGATGGGTTGAAGGCCAGTCCTTGAACAGGCCCCAGGAAAGAACTATTGGATCTCATCTAATCCATTGTGGCCCAGAGGACAAAGAAGGAAAGAGAAGAGAGGGTCTTTAATCCTCCTGGAGTCCTTACAAAGATCCCACATGTCCCCATGCTGCTTCCTCTGCTCTCCTGCCAAGGAGTTTGGCTGGGAGTCTACCCTGAGTGCGACCTGTTGCAGCGCCTGCTGGCCTCCTGGGGGAGCAGCACAGAGCGCTCACAGCTTGCAACCACCACAGCAAAATGGGGAGGAATAACTGTGCCTGCTCCTGCAGAGAGGCTCAGTCCTGCCTCTGAGCCCTGAGACCCTCGCCCCTCTTGGGGGCCTCTGAAGGCAGCCAGGCAGGCAAGCATTCCAGCTTCCCTTCAGCCCCCAGCACCACCGGGGCCGGAGGGTAGAGGGCCAGCCTGACCCAGGCGCCTCAGCTCCCAGAGTGCTGCAGACTCTCTAGGCCTGCCTGCCTGCCTTTATCTGCCACCTCTCCCAGGAACTCTGTCCCAAACAAGTCCTTGAAACAATTTATTACTGGCCCTTTTTCCTGGGGTCTCCCTTTGCTGGGGGTCCAGATCCAGACAGGGTGGGAGAGGATGTGTGCCCCCTTAAGCATGGAGCCAGGTCATCCCAAGCTTGGTGCCCAGGTCCAGCTTCCCTGGTGAGGCTGTGCCTGCCAAGTGGTGCCTGGGTGCCAGCAGCTGCCCCCACTGCCTCTAGCTCCTCTTGGCCTCCTGCTCTCTGCGCCGGAGCTTCTCGCGCTGCCTCGCTGCTTTCTCCTGAGCTTTGCGCTCCTTCTCGGCAGCCGCTGCCAGCTCCTTCAGCTTCCGCTTCACTAGTGCCCGGTCATGCGCGTTGCTGAGCCCCAGGCTCTAGGGGAGGAAGCCTGGGGTGAGGGAAGGCATCCCAGAACCATCTGAGGTCCCAGCCCTCCTCTCGGGAGCTCGGTAAGCCCTTCCTGAGTGTAACTACCTCCTCCCTGACTAGGATTCTGATGGGCCACAACTTGGGATGGGAGACGAGAGGTGAAAAGTACCAGCCCAATCCCTGGTTCCCATCTTTGCAGGATTTCAGCCTTGGGATGACCCTGCCTGAGACCCTGATGCCTGAAGGTGGAGAGTGACTTGTCCAAGGTCACATGCGGTCAGTGGATGAGGTATACCACCACTGCCAGCATCTTTCCAGGCTGACAATCCAAGAGAGTTGACATGGACACTATGGCATTCATCTGGGGTCAAGGGTCAGATGATAGTCTTAAAGGGCAGCCCAGGTGGTCAAATCAAAGTGGACTTGTGTTCCAGACCAGACCAGGCACCCATGCTGGGGTACAAGGATTAGGCTGATATCCTTGCCTAGAGGTCAGAGGTCAGTGTAGCGGGCTTAGAGGGGGAGGTGAAGGTCACGTGTCAGGATGAGAAGAGCCTCAGACTCAGGCTGGGTTCATGGCCTTACCCCAGACCCACCTTCAGTTTGCTCCCATCCAGCTGCAGAAGCTGTGGCCCATCCACCTGACGGGCCGCAAACTCGGCGGCATACTGCTCGAGGTTGAGGCTGTGCAGCCACTGGCCCACCTGCTGACTGGTCCAGTGATGGACAGTGGGGAGGGGTTCATCCAGGAACTAGACAGAGACCAAGAAGAACGAGGAGCACAGGCTTGACCTGTGGCCTGCGTGGAATCAGAGGTCGGGGGTTGGTGACTGTGGGGCCAGCTTTGCTTACCTCATCTGAAGACTGGGACAGCGTGTGATAGGGGTAGGAGCACTTGGCCTCTTGCCGGGGGCCGCTCGACGTCTTAGGGCTGCTGCTGGGTGGGGTGGAGTCATCACTCAGGGTGGATTCCTGAACAGGAAAGGGGTGCTCATGGTGAGGAGAAAATTCACTCCTGTGTCCTCAATGCACTACCCCCATCCAGCTGGAACGTCCTGGACTGGACACCAGTCTTGCTCAGCCTCCCATGTGCACAAGCCCAGGGCTGGGCCAGTACACAGGACATGGTGCCTTTGAGGGAGCAGACAGCTGTCAGGGGCATGTGGGAATGCAACTGGTGGGCAGAATTGATGGAAAGAATGGAAGATGTCTCCAGTTAGGTATTGCTTCCTACAGGCAGCCTACAGTGCTTTCAGCAGGCAGTCATTATCCCTGCTATTGCCTCTGTGAGATCCTTAGAAGCAAGGATGGTGAGACTTTGTCTTGCATGCTTTGGACATATTATCAGAAGCTAGTCTCTAGAGTAGTCACTAGAGAAAAACAACATTCTTGGAAGAGTAAAGGGTTAAAGCGAGGAAGACCCTCCACAGACCGACTGACACAGTGGCTTCCGCAGCAGCGATGGCACAGGACCAGGTGGGGTTTCGTTCTGCTACATGCAGTTCTGTGAGCCAGAAGAGACTTGCTGGTGCCTGATAAACCACTGAGGGCTTAGGCTGTGTCTTGTTCACTGAGGCAGCTCCGGTCCAGCAAGGGAGGGAAAAAGGCCAGGATGGAGGAGGGCATGCAGAGAGAGAAGTCAGTCCACCTGAATTCCAAGCATTCTGGTTTCTCTTGCCCGCACAGCACGTAAGGAATCGACCACAGCAGGAACCCTGGCTCAGAGGTCGTAGGTGCCGTTGTGGCTGCCTGAACTCATTGCAGCCGTCAAGCACCGGCTGCTCCACGGCCTGTCCTGCACCATCCTCGCGATCTCAGGCCCCTTGTGAGTCACTGCTGTCAGTCCATCTTGTTGGGGTCGGTCTCTGACTTCTCCACGTTCCCGAGCACTGGTCCCTCCTGACGACAAACCCAAAGCATGTGAGATGAAGGTTTACCATCTTTGCCTCTAAGGAGCACTGTGGTGTGCTTCTTGCAAGACAGACAGATTGATTCTTTTTGGCAGACAAATTCAGTACTCTTCAACATCACAGCTCAAAGGCATCAATTCTTTGGAGTAAAAAAAAAAATTCTTTGGAGTCCTCATTGACTGCCCAACTTTCAGATGCAAAGCAAGTGACTGAAAAGACCACGGCTGCGGTGCTGTCAAGTTCGCTGTGACTCACAGTGACCCTGCGTACAGCACTGCCTGTGTGTGTGAGGTCCTCAACAGCAGTGCTGTGCTTGAGGCCACTGCTGCCGCCACATGTCGGTCCTTGGCACCGAAGGTCAGCCTCTTTCTCACTAACCTTCTACCGTGTATACTGTCTTCATAAGGGGATTAGCGCTTCTATGCCCCAAGTATGCCAGACAAAGTCTCAGCACCCTGCTTCTGTCTTCCCAGCCTGTTTCTAAGGAGCCTTCTCTTCAACTCAGCTTTGCTGGGTGTTTGGGCAGTCCGTGGTATATTCAATATACACCAGTGCCTTCATCCAAAAGCATCAATTCTTCGGTCTTCCTGATTCACTGTCCACTTTTCACCTGTATACGAGGTGACTGAAAACACCCTGATTTGGACTGGATCGCATGCACCTTCATCCTGGAAAATGGCCATCTTGCTCTTCAGCATTTTAAAGAAACAGAAATCCTTGACAGCAGCTTTGCCTTAGGTAATACAACATCTGATTTCCTGACTGCTCTTTGTGTGAGCCCCTGGGCAGGTCTCATCTCTGTGAACCTTCATTTCCATATCTGGATAATGGGTACAAACATGCTTGCTCTGCCTAGTTCACCAGGCTCTGGTGACCGTGAAGAAACACTTGTGTTTGGGGCTCGGTGACAGAATTCATAGTGAGTCACATTTATAACCCACAGGCTGCATGTCCCGGGCTGTGTGACTGACTCCACCAGTGGCTTTGGGAGGAAGATGACTAGTCAGTCCCCTCTAGTTGAGATCTTTAGCCTCAGAATCCCAAAGGAAGATAACTGAGTTAGAATCAACTTCAGAGGAGATGAAAAAGAGCTTTATGAACATGAGCAGACACTCTCTGTTGCTTCAGTTAGTTGGACTCACTTCTCCTACAAATCTGTGAGGTTCTGAAGCCTAGATGGGGTCATACTCACCCCCATGCCTTACCCACTCACACGCAAATTGGCCCAGTTCCTGACACAGTGACACGTGTTAAATGGATAAGGCACTGAATAAATCAGGAGTGAATGACGGAGAATATGAATGAGTAAGTGACTGAATGAACTCAGGATGATTGAAATAGTGGATCACTAACTGGCTCAATGAGTGCACAAATGGACTCAGGAATGCCTCAATCCCAGCCTGCGACACAGTGAAGGATGGTCTCATGTCACCTGTGTCTGGAGCCAAGCTGGAGCCAGACTGGGGACAAGAAGGCCATGGACTTACCTGAGAAGCTGACTTCTTAGGGCTGAAACCCTCATGTTTGGGGGAGCACGTGGGGGAAGTAGTGCTGCCAGAGGACGCTGAGCCCTTGCCACTGTCTGTGAACCAGGAGAAGGGCAGGAATGGGGAGCCCCCAGATCTGCCAGACCCCTCCACTGATTCCCTGTGGAGAGAGCACCCAGTGTGGGTACAGGCACAGAGAGGAAGGCCAGGGCCTCCAGGCTGGCATCATGGGTGGGCACTGTGGGTTCTTCCTACCTGCTGCCCATGGACAAGCGATTGCTGCCCTTCTCCTTCCGACTCTTGCCAGTGGATGCTCGGCGTAGGGTGACCCTGTGGGAAGGTCAGTGGAAATGGGGCAGTGCTACCTGCTAGACTCCCCTTACCCTGACAGCATCAAGCCCTGGCTTCCGGCCCCTTCACTCACCCCAGGTCCAAGAATTTTCGGCGGGTCTTCTTGTCCAGGCCAATGGTGGGGCTGGCAGGTTCAGGTGGGCTGGCATCCCGGCTGTCATCTTTAGGGGAAAAAAGGCGAGAAAACAGTCGGTGTGTGTGCTGGCTTGTTTCCTCCTCAGCTGCCAGTGTGGTGTGGAAGCAATTCCTAGACTCAAGTAACCTGGTTCTGATGCCCTTTACTGCTGGTGCCTGACCTGAGACAAGTCACTTCCCCTTTCTCAGCTACCTTCATCTCAGATACGGAAGTAACACCTATTTCATGGGGTCTACAAGATCATCAAGGAGCTCTGGTGGCATAATGCTTACGTGGCTGCTAACTGAAAATTCAATGGCTCAAACTGCCCAGCTGCTTTGCGGAAGACAGACATGGCAGTCTGCTCCTATAATGATTATAGCCTTGGAAAGTGTAGAAGCCATTTTCAAAGCGTGAAGCACTACAAAAAGGTGAATACAGCTACTATTCTATTGTTCATTTTATCCTGGGCATCTTCTAACCAGCTCTCCAATCCTGGTACAAATATTACTTCTTCCAAGAAGCCCCCAACTAGGTCAGACACTTAATCAAGTTCTCCTACCTCCATGTACTACTACAAATTTTTTTAACCGTCTTAAGCCAAACTTTTTCTTTCCCAAGTTGTGCCATAAATTTCTACTGAGTACCGATGGTCACTTGCCACACTCACACCAGACTGCCTGTGTAGCCAGCAGAGTCTGGCCATCAGCAGACCAGGCCAGAGAGGTGCACTGGGGTGGTTCAGCTTTGCTGCTGCTGCTGCTAACTTCTTACTTCAGTTCATCTACAGTGATCTTGCCCTCCAAGTCCCAGTTCTTGATACTGGGGCCTGTGTCAGCACAGAGCCAGCAGTGGTTAGGGCGGAAGCACAGGGCATTGCCGATGTCACCACCATCTAGAGTACAGAGATGCTTGCCTTCGTTGAGGTCCCATAGCATGGCCTGGCAGTCCTTGCCTCCAGAAGCACAGAGGGATCCATCTGAAGAAACAGTCACAGTGTTCAGGTAGCCTGTGTGGCCAGTGTCATTGGTTTTCAGCTTGCACTTTGCCAGGTCCCACACCTTGACCACCTTGTCCCAGACACAAGAGACAATGATGGGGTTGCTGCTGTTGGGTGAGAAGCAGACACAGACACCCACTCCGAGGGACTCTCATTCTGGACAGTGTACTTGCAGACATCCAGAGAATTCAACAGCTTGACGGTTTTATCTCTGGATCCTGAGACAATCTGCCGGTTGTCAGAGGAGGCCACACAGCACATCTTTTGTATGCCCTACAAATCAGCGCGTGGTAGTACCTGCTGTGAGATCCTGAAGGCGTGGAACCAGAAAGGGTAAAATGGCCATCAGAGGAGATGACCACATCACTAACAAGGTGGGGGTGACCACGCAGAGCACGCTGAGGAATGCCATAGTTGGTTTCATCTCTGTCAGCTTCCACATGATGACGGTCTTATCTCAAGAGGTGGACAGCATCATGTCTGGGAACTGCAGTGTGGTGGCAATTTGAGTCACCCAGCCGTTGTGGCCCTTGAGGGTGCCACAAAGGGTCATCTGTTCAGTTATGTCTAGGGCAGGTGCGAGGGTTGCCGCAGCGACGAGGATAGCAGTGGCTAACTCAGAGACACCAAGGGCACAGCCACTGCCACCACGGCTCCACTAAGAAAAACACCATGTACTTCTCAATATCATTAGCATCACATGCAAGTAAAATCCTGCTGAAGATTGTTTAAAATGACTGGAACAGTACATCAGCAAGGAAATGCCAGAAATTAAAGCTGCATTCAGAAGCAGTCATGGCACATGCTGATGTCAGATGCATCTTGGCTGAAAGCAGAGAATTCCAGAAAGATGTTTACTTCTGTTTTATTAATTATGCAAAGGCATCTGACTGTGTAGATCATAGCAAATTATGGATACCATTGAGAAAACAGGAATTCCAGAACCAAGAAATAGTTGTTTGAACAGAACAAGGAAGCACTGCATGGTCTAAAATCAGCACTTGTCTCCATACCTATTAAATCTGTATACTGAGAAAATAATTTGAGAAGCTGAACTACATGAAGAAGAATGTGGCATCAGGATTGGAGGAAGACTCAACAACCTTCATTATGCAGATAACACAACCTTGTCTGCAGAAAGTGAAGAGGACTTAAAGCACTAACTGAAAAAGATCAATATGGGTTTCATCTCAACATCAAGAAAACAGAAATCCTCACGAGACCAGTAGGAAACATCATAATAGATGGAGAAAAACTGAAGTTGTAATTTTTCTTTAAACCATATTCATCACCCATGGCAGCGGCAGTCAAGAAATGAAAATATGTACTAGAGAAGTCTGCTGCTAAGGACTTCTCTAAAGTGCTGAAGAGCAAGGATGTGAGAAAACGATGCAAGGTTAAGGCATTTCTAGTCTAAACCATGGGAATTCCAGTTGCTTGCTATGCATCTGAAAGCTGGGCCGTGAGTAAAGAAACTGAAGAATCAATGCCTTCAACTGAGGTACCATTGAAGAGTACTGAATATAGCCTGGACTGCCGAAATAAACCCGTCTTGAAGGAAGTCCTTAGTGGTAGGGAGGGCAAAACTTTGTTTCATATACTGGGCCATGTTTTGAGGAGGGACCAGTTATGGAAAAAGACATCATGGTAGGAAAGGTGGGAGGTCAAGAAAGAGAATGACTTTCAACAAGATGGACTGACACAGTGACTGTAACAGTGAGCTGAGGATGGCAGAGATGGAGAACACAGCACAGGATAGGGGAAGATCTGCTGTTCGTAGGTCACTCTGAGCCACAGTCCTCAGCCTACAACCACCACCGTGCACTCAGTGTTTATAATAATGCAATTAATGAGAGAATTACTAGATTGTTGCCTCCCTAACAATGTTTTTGCTGTTAACTGACCTCAGTGGATTCATGGTGACCCCTGAGATGCAGAGAAGTGTTTTCAAGTAGTATTTTCAAGGTCATGAGTTTTAGAAGCGGATTCTCAGGCATGTCCTCTAGGTGAGTTTGAACTGCCAACCTTTGGTTAGTAGTCCAGCACTTAACTGAGCTACCCTGGTTCTCCTCCTAACTTAAAATTTTATTATTTAGCTCCTAAATTACTGACCCTATCAAGACAAGGTCCACATCCTTTTGCTACTTTTATGTCCCAGAGCCCAACAATGTCTGACACTTAACGAGCACTCAGTAAATATCTGCTGAAAGACTGAAGGGTGGTCTTTACTCTCCTGCTTCCCACCCAAGACACCTGGGCCTGCACTGGGCCCTCTCAGCGCTTCATTCCCCTCGGGGACCTGTAGGGGATGCTGCTGTCCTCCCTGAACCCACCCAGCACTTAGCTGGCCCTAGGGGACCTACAGGGGACACTGCTGTCCTCCCTGGACCCACCCAGCACTTTGCTGGCCCTAGGGGGCCTACAGGGGACGCTACTGTCCTCCCTGGACCCTCCCAGCGCTTCTCTCCCCTTGGGGACCTGCAGGGGACGCTGCTGGCCTGCGGGGGCCGCTGTCTCCCGCTGCTCACCTTCGCTGTGTGGCTCTGCGCGCGGGTGGCGGCGCACGAAGCTGGGTGAGCTGTCCGAGGAAGGCGCCGAGCGAGGCGGCGAGCAGGAGGCGGCCAGGCCCTCGTGCGAGGCGGCGTTGTGCAGTGGCCGGTAACGTGTGAGCGGTGAAGGTGGCGGCTCGTCCTCGTCCAGGCTGCGCCGCAGGCCCGGAGGCTCCAGGCAGAACGAACCGCTGCCGGGGGACCCTGGGCCCGAGTGCAAGGGCGAGCGCAGCCGGTGCAGGGGGCTCCCGCAGCCATCGGTCACCTGGAGGAGGGTGTAGCCACTGAGTGTCCATTCTCCCCATTTCCTGGAGGGTGTAGGAGCCAGCTTCACCCCTTAAATCACACGGGAGGCCCCAGAGCGGGAACCTGGACTCCTGGGGCCATGAGGGGTGGGAAATGGGCACACAGGCTGGGGTTGAGTCCAGCCTCAGACATTATTGAGCAAACCTCTCAGGGCCTCAGTCTCCTTATCTGTAAGATGAGGATAATGCCTTCATTAAGAGGATGACATGAGAGGGAAATAAATGACTGCTAATAGTGTATTAGCGATATTATGCTACAAGTCTGGGGGACGTGGTTTCCCTGGAGGAGAGGGTTACTGGGCTTATTCAGGAGCAAAAAGGCTGGGTGGGTATTTGTGTGTTGGGGTGGATTGCCCCAACCTTGCCTCCAGGCCCGTCGGAGCCTTCACCATCCTCAGCAGAGCTGGCGCTGTCCCGAAGCCTCGAGCGGGAAGGCCGGTGTCTCCGGCCCTTGGCCAGCAGCTGGGCCCGGGCCTTGTGTAAACTGCTGTCCAGCCTGACGGTCTCTGGCACGGCCAAGTCCAAGTCTGCAAACCAGGGTGAGAAGATAGAGTCCAGCGACCTGAAGAAGGCAGTCCCAGAAGCCCACTTGAGGTCTCCTGCACCCAAACCCCTAACAGGGAACAAGTGTTCTGAGAACCAGTGCTATCCTGGGCCTAGGGAGGACAGACAAATGAAAATCAAGGTCCCTCACAGACATACAGCACCGTGTGGCAAACCCTCACGAAGGCACAGTGCAGAGGGACACAGGATGACTCTGTTTGAATGGGTCGGGAAAGGTGGGTCTTCAGGTCTAGGTGACAGTTGATAAGATATGAGGTAGAGAGCCCAGTGTGTGCAATTAGGCACATTTCACAGCTGGGGAACCTGAGGCTCAGAGAGGTTAAGTCTCTTGGTCAAAGGCAAGTTTGCAGTGGAGACCAAGATTTTGAGCCAGAGAAGTATGGCTCCAAGGAGCTAAAGTGATGTTATGGTTAAATGCTTGCCTGTTACCCAGCATGGAGGTATTTCAACCTTCCACTGCTCCACAGAAAATACTCCATGAAGACTGCCATCTTGGAGACTCTTTGAGGTAGTTCTACTCTGTCCTGCAGGGTTGCTGTGAACTGGGATCGACTGGATAGCAATGGGATTGGGTTTTGTTTGGGGTATTTTGTTTATTTGGCATTTCTTAAGACTTGCTCCAGGGACTGGCTTTCCCCTCTGTGGGCTGAGTTGCCTGTCTATCCAGAGCCCTGCTATGGGCACTGGCTTCCGGTGTCATGCTTAGGGTCAAGGTCACAACCAGAGACAGTGCTACGGAGCACATAGAGGACTCAAAGTTGAACTGGGGCAGAGGAATCCCACACAAACCAGGGAGTGCTCGTCAGGGAAGCAGTTGCTACAGGTGCTGATGGAACCTACAGTCCCCAAAAGCCTATCCCCTCAAGCCTGACCTCGTGGGCTTGGGCTACATCCTGGGTGGGAGGACAGAGGAAGAAGAGGCAAAGCCCCCTGGATCACCTGGAGAAACCCTTAAGCTCATGGCTCACTTTCCCTTCACTCACTCAGGGATGAAGTCCCACCTCATGGAGCCCCAACGATTGATTCTTTGGTCTCTAGACAGAAAACTAGTTTCCAGTTTGCAGGGTGGGCCACTTTCTTCCTCACCTCCCCCCAGAAGTCTCGAGGATCCCCCTCATCCTGTCATTCATTCACTCTGCCTTGCCTGCCCCTTTCTCTTGTCTGTAGACAACCCCCAAACAACCCCTAGCTTTTTTCCTGGCCTAACCAGTAATTTTTTTTAAAAGACTGCCGTCAAGTTGATTCCTATGCATGGTTACCTCACGGGTTTCAGGGTAGAATTATGCTCCACAGAGGAGAGCAGACTGCCAGCCCTTTGTTCCATGGAAACTCAGGATCAACTGGAACGTCCAACCTATTTGTTAACAACTGAGTGGCTGTTTATACCATCCACCTGCCTATTTCTAATCCTGACCTCCAAATCGAGGCTTGGCAGCACCAGCCACGGAGTTCTTACATCAAAGGTTCCCCGCACCTCAGATTTAACCATCAAAATGAGCACATCACCTGGCTTCAAACCTACATCTCTAATCCCTGGCTAAGTGAAAGGCCTCTTCATCCACCCAAGCACCTAAGTTTGGTAGCTCCACACCACCCTTTCCCCTCAGCCCCAGATTAGTTGGTAAATTATGTGTCCAGCTGCCCCCTCAGCATCTCCTCTTACATGTCCAGCCTGAGTCTTCAACTTACAGTCAAAGCTGAATTCCTGACCTCCATTCCCCAGCTGCCCCTCCCATCTCAGAGACAGCAGCTCCAATCCCTGGAGCCACCCTCGTCTCCTCGCTTTCCCTCTTACAAACCAATCCATCCACCATTCCTGTTAGCTCTACCTTTGAAATATATCTAGACATACTGAAATATTTATGGCCAAGTGAAATGTTTTGGATTAGGTTCAAAAACAATCCAGGGCAGAAGGGTGGCGTGTGGAAGAGGGGCTGCAACAAAACTGGCCATGAGTTGATAATTGTTAGGATTGGGTAATGGGTACATCGGGCCACTTAACAATTAAACACTGTTCCTGTTACTGTGAAGACAATATACAGCATACAAGCATGCATCATGGAGACAAAGAGGAATGGATGGAGGGGAGAGGGAGAACTCAGCCCCCCCCCCAGGTCACCCTCATCTCTTGTCTTGATTACGACACACAGCCTCCTAGCTGGCCTGCCCTCCTCTCCCCTTTCCCCGTTTGCAGTCTATTTTCAACACAGCAGGCAGACTTGATCCTGATAAAACATGTCAGATCATGTCACTTCTCTGCTTAAAACCCTCCGGTGACTTTCATTTCACGCAGAGTACGAGCCGGAGGTCTCTGAGTGGCCTTCCAGACCCACTCAGTCTGCATGCACCTTAAAACCAGGGATGGGGGAAAATCACACTAAAAAAAAATCCCAAACCTCAAACACACTTCCATCAAGTCGGAACCAACTCAGAGCTGAGCTCCCCAGCCAGTGGGTTTTCAGAGGCTGTAAATCACACTGGAGATTACTCATCTTTCTCCCAATGAGCCACTGCTGGATTCGAACCACTAGAGAGGGCACTGTCTTTGCGTTAGCACGGCAAGTCCCTATAGATTATGCCACCAGAGCAGTCTCCTTAACTTGGGATTTTGCACTTCTCTCCCTTTCTTCTTCTGCTCCTGCCACCCAGGTTCTGGATCCTTCCTCATATATGCCAGGCCTGCTCCCACCTGGAGGCCTTTACATTTCTTCTTTTACAAGGTTCGTGCTACATACAAATTTCTGTAACACTTGCCTTCTTCAAGTCTTTAATGTCGCTTCTCATTGCAGGCTTCCTCGACCCCCTATTTATAATTGCTCCATATCTACACACATTCTGTAACCCCCACCCACCCACCCCCTATGACAGCATTCTTTGCAACATTCTTCAACTTCTGGCATCCTATTTATTTTACTTACTGAGTTTACTCTGTCCACTTATTAACATGTCAAGTCCTTGAGGACAGATTTCCCCATTTTACTCACTTCTCTAACAGACGCATAGAATGGTGTATGACACAGTAGGTACTGTGGGGCAGCTGATAGATTTTAACTCTGGTTACCTAGTGGTAAGAAACTGCGCTGCAATCCCAAAGGCATGTGGTTTGAATCCACCAGCTGTTACGTGGGAAAAGGATGGGCAATCTCCTCCTTTTTTATTTACTGCCTTGAAAACCCACTGGAGAATCTGCTATGAGTTGGTTGTGACTCAACGGCACACAACCACCATCTCTGGGATGACAGCGCAACTCCTTACCACTGAGCCACCACAGTGCCCAAGCAGGGACTTAGGACATTAATGAAAGAATGACTTTCTGCTGATTGGCCTTCCTCACATTACAGATCCTGGCCTCTCCTCTCCCTCCCCCACCACTGCCCCAAGCCTTCATCAGCCGCCCTCAGCTCCATCTGACGATCCTAAAATATGGCCTCAGACTCTAATCTGGCCCTTTTGTTCCCTCTGCCTCTGCCACATGGCTAAGCAACTTTCTCAAGCACATTTCTAACTATGTCCCTTATCTCCTGCCTCTGAAGCCCTTGGGAGATGGATGGAGAGAAAAAAAAAACACCTCAACAACAAAAAGTCTGAGTCTCTCAGCCTGTCTGTCTGTTGCTCAAGGCGGCCAAGTTAGCCTGTGTTGTCCAGTGGTGAAGAGCGTTACGTTTTGGAGCCAGAAGGCTAGAGCTGGCTCCGGGTCTACTAAGTCACCCTGGGCAAATCATTTATGTTAAGATATCTGTAAAAACAGGGTCATCACAGCCACATCTTTCTTACAGAGTTGATAAATGAGCAGTAAGTAAACTAACCCACATCAAGTGCTTCACTGTGATGCCTGCAGCTTCGTAAACGCTCACCGAGCACTAGCTATTGATGGTGTTAGTGGCAGCAGTAACAAGTTGTGTATTCTGGTACCTACAGAATGGCCTCCAACTCTTCTTTCCCACCTCCATCCCACTGCTCTTCTCGCCCTCTGCCCAGGCACTCCTCACTCCTTGTCTGGCTAATCTGCTCTTAACATGTTACCTCCTCCTTCCCATCTTCAGCCCCCAGCACCATCTAAGGTTACGGATGACCGTCTCCCATGCGAATCTGCCCACTACTGAAAATGACACCCCCTGCTCTCCACCACGAATCCTGGCAGCCTGGTGCTGTGCCCTCCCAGAGGACAGATGCTCGGTCAGGGTTAGGTGAGCTGCATGAGAGCCATACTCCCACACCAGGCAGACTTTGGCAGAAATGGGTTTGCTGGTGCTGAGGCCCCACTTACAAACCCAAGTCCACATTCCATCCCATTCCACATTCTATTTTCAGCAGAGCGTTGTCCAACATCTTAGAGCTTCCTTGTTCATATATGTGAGTTTTAGTATCTGTCTCCCTACCAGTTGATGTATTATCGTTCAAGTTCCCTGAGGGCAGAAAACTCTGCCTGGCTGGTTCACTGCTGCTTCCTTATGTCCTAGGACAGTGTCGAGGATATATTAGGAATTCAATAAATATTTGTTGAGTGGATGAAAGAGATCGGGTATGATGGGGGCTGATTTAGTACTTTAGAGAGCTGAGCTGAGAAACTGCACGGAGCTGAGATCGTAGGAAGAACAAGACAAGAGGTTTCAAGTAGAGACATGACGTAGGCTTAGGCTAGACCCTGAGGAGCATCAGAGGGCCACTGCCATCTGCAAGGAGAGAGGAACACGGGGCTGGAGGGTAGAGACAGGATTCTGTTGCTATCCCCCACGGGGAGCAGGTGGAGGCTTGGAGGAAGGGAAAAGTTCTGTTAAAATGACTGCTATCGGGGAGCTCTGGTGGCCTAGAGGCAAGAAGCTGCACTGCAATCCCAGAGGCGCACGGTTCGAATCTACCAGATGCTCTGCCGGGGAAGGAGAGACAATCTCCTCCTGTACCAGTCAGATCTGATTTGGCGGTACACGCACACACAAAAATAATAATTTTAAAAAATGACTGGTATCTTGGACTCCCAGATTTGACAGTATTCCTCCCCTCTCTTGGCTGCCTCGTGACCCAACCCGTCTGATGTTTCTAGGCCTTAAGGCTGAGCTGGGAGAGGGAGTCCTCTGTCCCTTGCCCTCTGGCACAGATTCTCAAGGCACAGTCATGAAACAGCAAGGTTTGAGGGTGGAGCCACAGGATGATAAAAGCTAATATTTACTGAGTGTCCACTGTGCCCAGGCACTGTTCTAAGTGCTTTACAATTATTAACTCATTTAAGCCTTCCTCCAACCCAGTGAGCAAGTCACTCCAGGCATCCTGAAGGCAGCCAAACAACAAAGAGGAGGGCCAGGGTTAAAAGCTGGCAGGCTGGCTCTAGAACTAGATTTGTAACCAGCCATATGCTACTCTCTCAGGCAGAGACGGGTTAGGTCGAGTCAATCCAACTTCCTCTTTTATGGAGAAATGGAGGCTCAGGTAAGGTTTGGCTAAGGGCACAGAGCAAAAGGAGTTAAGGACAGGATCACGTCCTCTCCTCCTCACTCCTTGGCAAGGGCTCTGGATGCTCTCCCTGGGACTTGCCAGCATCCTCAGGCCCACAGCTAGTACCCAGCCAACCTAGACCAGAGAGGGGGCTTTTTGTTCTGCCCTGTGGGCTCCATCAGGACCTCAGTCATCTGACATGGGAGCGTCTGGAGAGCAAAGAGGCTTTTAAGAGGACCACAGATTTTGAGGCAGGGTGAGACATCTAGTCTCTCTGCTCCATCCTGACCTGCTTCTACTATCTCATCCCAGTATGCACACCAGCATTCTCTCTCTTTTCTCCCCCAGGGAGAAGGCCAGTCCTGGGCAGTGGGATGTCATGAATATTTCATAGTCTCAAATCAGGAAGCAGGCAAGGCAGGGCCCAGCTACCTCAGCAAATCTGTTGCTGCTCTTGGGGTCTGGGTGGGGAAAACAGAGGCAGAAGAGTCTGGAGAGGGGAGCTCATGCCAGTCAGGATAAGGGTTAGGCTGGGTGTGGGTAGAGACAGAGCGGCTCCAAGGCTCAGGCCCAGCAGGCTGGAGTCGTGGGGAGTTTCAAAAACAAATCTTCCACTCCAGAGACCCTAGGGAGGCTGCAGGAGGAAGCAACCTTCTCCAGAAGGCAGGAGGCAATAGTTCCTGGCATTGCCTGAGTGAGTATGAGAGAGAGAGGGGAGTACGGGGAGGGGACGAGGAAGGCAGGGAGAGGTGTTCCCAGCACAGGAGTCCCCTTGAGGCAGTACACACAGATGAGAGGCTATGAAGGCCATAGCGTCAAAGATTCAAGCTTCTTCTGTGGTATATTCGCACAATGGAATACTATGCTGCATTTAAAAACAAGGAACTCATGCAATATTATTCAAAATGGTTTACTCTGGAGAACATTATGCTGAGTGAAATATCCCAGTCACAAAAGGACAAATATTACATGATGCCACTGTTGTAGAATGGGACTGTCCTTGGGGCTGGGGAGAGACTGAGTAAGATGGGTTCAATAATGTATACTGCACTGAAACAGAGGAGGGAGAGAACTGTTTAAAAGAGAGATATAACTGGGTATTTCTGTCATCACAGGAGACTAGAGCGAGGGCTACATGGTGGAGGGGACCTGGGGGAGGGTTTGTAAAACAATAAAAGAATCTTTTCTTTTACTTTTCCATAATTTTTGGACTCATGTACTTATAACTTGTTAGTCAAATTTGTGTCTTCTAGGTTGCAACACCCCCATGATACATCTTCAAGGATATGAACATGTACAGCCAAGCACAATCAATAAGAGTGCATCTAAATTCCAAAATCAATCTCCATAATAGTCTATGTGTTTCCTACTGCCAAAGGGGCCCTTTAGAGTAGTGAGAGAAGATCTTCACCCTGAAACCCACAGCGTCCCTTTTCAGCAGGAAGTAGCTAAGAGAATACGCCATCCCCTTTTCCTTATGACTCAGGGTGAAGTCTCTCTCAGGGAGGAGTGATAGGGAATGGCAAAGGACACACTGACAAAGAAGATTAATCAGAACTGGCTTTGACAAGCACTGTGGCATTTGGACAAGAACAAACTGGGAGGAGGGTAGAGAGAACAGTGCAACAATGAATGAGTGGAAGCCCCAAATCTCTGTAAGTGTTTATGAAAATTAATAAAATATAATTATAGGAAAAAAAGAAATTAAAAATAAACAACCTAAATTTAAAAAAAAACAAAGATTCAAGCTTCTTTTCCTGCCTCCATGCTTTTCCTCTCCTTCCATGCTCCTCTGCTCACTGTCTCCTCCATATGAATCCATCCTGGAAATAGCCTTTCCACCCCACAGTCTGCTGGGAACGCTGCCCTGAGGGAGGGGTCTCTTTCTCCAAGGCTCACAACAGCTAAACTGCAGGGGGTGAATGATGGTGTGGGCTGGTGTGTGCCTGTGCCCATGTGAACCTGACACACAGGCACGTGTATGGTGTGGGGGAGGGGGCAGGGGAAGGCCTGGCCACTGAGACAATGTACATGTGTCATGCATTTGATTTTGGTACATGTACAAGCAGCATGCAGTGATGTCCCATACATTTACGTGACAAGGACGTAATGTGGATCATCTGTGCCAGGTGCACAGATCTGTAACGCAGCAACTGGAAGCAGGAGGCAAGCCGACTTGAATTCTAGTACTAGCTCTATCCTAATTTATCATGTGATCTTTAAAGCATACACGACAGCATTCTGTGCCTAGATTCTTCTATAAAATGGGCAACTTCTGGGCATTACAGAAAGCAACAGTAGAATGCATATGAAATCTAGGTGTTTACCTGCCATGAGACACATATAGAATAAAGGGGGGGGACCCTTACCATCTCTGCTGTTGTACTTGACAAGTCTACTAGGATAACTCAAAAATTCATTGCCATTGAGTCGAGACCTGCCTATAGCTGGCCCTCCAGTGGGTTTCTGAGGATGTAAACACATGGGAGGAGAATGCCTATCTTTCTCTGGAGGAGCTGCTAGTGGATTCAAACTACCAGAGAAACTTTTGAGTTAGCAGGGAAACTCCCTACAGACTAAGCCACCAAAGTTCACTATTAGTAGGATATTGTTATGTTCTGTCGAGGTGGAAGCGACCCATAGCTGACCATCCAGTGGGTTTTCAGAGGCATTTAATCACACGGGAGGAGAATGCCCATCCCTCTCCCGCATTACCAGGATAGTAGTGACAAAATAAAACAGACCGTAAAGCTACAATACATGGACATATTCAGGCCTTCAAGGCCCCTCCCCAATGCTGGGTGGTCTTGGAAGAAATAAGTACTCTACAACTGTGTCTAATGACTAGAGAGAGTTTCATAGAACTTACCAAAAACCTCATCCACGGGTTCTCGAAGCTTTGAAGAAGCCATGACTCAAGAGAGCTGAAAAGGATAAGAAAGGAGAGAGAGAACGGAGTCTGAGTAAGAGGGTCAGATTGGTTAAGACAGGGGAATTGCTTGCCCATCAACAAATGAATGGATAGAGAAGCTCTGGTATATTCACACAATGGAGTACTATGCAGCACTGAAAACCAAGGAACTCATAAAAAAAATCACAAAATGGGTGACCCTGGAGGACATTATGCTGAGTGAAATATCTCAGTCACAAAAGGACAAATACTGCATAATGCCACTGTTATAAAACAGGACTGACATGGGGGTTGGGGGGAAACTAAGGAAAGAGGGGATAAATAATGAAACATTGAAACAGATGAGGGAAATAATTGTTTAAAAGGAATATATGATTAGGTATTGTTTGCATGACAACAGTCCAGAATAAGAGGTGTATAGCAAAGTGAACTAGGGTTTGGGGAGAGGGAGGAAAATATGCAACAATGAAAGAATCTTTTTAAAGAGAAAAGGAACTGAGGGCTTAGGGAGGGAAATGTGCAACAATGAATGGAAACCCAAGTTTTCTGTAAACTTTGATTAAAGCATTAATAAACAATTTTAAAAAATCAATTCAATTTTTTTAAGACAGGGGAACTGCAAATGGCAATTTGCTCATAGTCATCTAGCCCCTCACCTTCCCTAGAATTATTCCTCAAATGGGGTGGGGGGCGGTATGTGTCATGGCCTAGCTGGGGGTTGGGGCAGGAGGCAGAAGCAGATGGGCAGAGGCAGATGTAAATCCGGGAAATAGACATGCATTGAGTCCTGCAGTCTTGGATCCAGTGAATGCACTGTGTTCCTTCACACAGGCTACTGAGTTTCGCCCCTTCACTATGCTGAGTCTTTCCATCATTGTCACTGTTAGGTGCCATCGACTCAGAACTAGCCAGTTCCGCACCATCCTTACAGTCCTTGCTATGTGAATCCATCTTAAAGGTCTCCTTTTTTTTTTTTGCTAACACTCTAGTTTACAAAGTATGATGTCCTTCAAAGCCTGGTGCCTCCTGATAACATGTCTGAAGTGCCTAAGACCAATGATCACCATTCTTGCTTCTAAGGAACATTCTAGCCCTACACATTTTTTTCCCTCTCTCTACACATTCTGAGACAAGTTTGTTCTCCTGGCAGTCCATGCTATATTTAGTACTGTCTGTCAATATCATAATGTAAAGGCATCAGTTCCTCAGTCTTCCTTATTTGTTAGCTAGCATTCTCCCATGTATTAAACTACACTCAAACTCACTGCCCTTGAGTCAATTCCAACTGATAGTGACCTTCTCTGGGGGGTCTAAGGCTACAAAACTTAATGTGAGGAGACTGTCCATCTTTTTCCCATTGAGCTACAGTGGGTTCTGCCTCATAAAATGCTCAGCCTTTTGATTATCAGCATAACACACACAAAACACAGACTATGCCACAATTCATATTGTTGATTATGTGCCGACTTATAGCTGTCCCTCTAGTGGGTTTATAGAGGCTGTAAATCACACAGGAGGGGACTGTCCATCTTTCTTTCAAGAAGCAGAGGCAGATTCTAATACATGCCTTTGGATATGCCCACTAGGCCACCAGAGCTTCTTTTTTTCCCCCCAGAGCTTCTTGATAGCCAAGGTATACTGCTGTTGTTCTATACCATCAAGTTTGACTCATAGCTGACTCCCCAATGAGTTTTCAGATGCAGCAAATTGCATAAGAATGTGTATCATTATTCTTTGGAGAAGCTGTTGAATTCAAACTTGTACCTTTGGGTTGGCAACACAAATCCTGACCCATTAGGCCACCACAGATCCCTCATGTATATTAGTGATTCTTAAAATTTTTTTAATCATCATGAATTGTACATCAACTCTAAGAGAAAACCTGGAAATCATTAAATTCAGTCCTCTTGTTTTACAATGGAAAACAGACCCCCCCCCAAAAAATGGGGAGAATAGCTCAAGATTAAGCTAATGGCAAAATTAAGATGAGAACGCACATTTTTCCATCCATTTCCCTACATATTGGTCCATGCATCTATGTGTCCGTCTGTCCGTCCATCCGTCCATCCATCCATCCACCCATTCACTCCCATTCATCCGTCTATCCATCCATGTACTCATCCATTCACTCAATCATCTTCTCCATCAATCTACTCTATCATCAGTCCTGTCCCCTCCCCCCATCACCAGTGTCCTCACCATCCTTGCCTCTCTGAACATGAGCTGTTCAAGAAGCTGGCACCAGCAGCAGGCCCACTTTTCCAAACAAACTCACAGTTCTCATTGTTTTTGACAGATTCACAGATGGATGAATCCTCAGAAAGGTATGAGGAGTACTCAACAGCAGAACACTAGACAGACAAATCTCTATGATGCATTAAATACATTCTAGGGGCATCAAGTATGTTCTGGGTAAAAGTATGGATAGGTTAGGAGTCTTGGGGTTTTGTGGGAAGTAAGAAGGGAGGGAAAGTAGGAAAGCAGGACACATGTAGCTAAGCAATGTGGGCAGATGTACGATTCCTACCAGATGTATGATTCCAGCAGCCCTTGAACTAAGGCTTGGGTGTCAGGAAGGCAGAAAAATGTTAGATGAGAGAGTGCGGAAGCTCAGGGCCACAGATGGTTGGAGCATTAGGCTCGACTATGCATTTGAGAGGTGTGGAAAATCTGGACTACATGCCTGCTGGAGACTTATCCAGTAGAGAGAGTGATGGCAGGGAGGCTACAGGGGACTCCCCTTTTCTGTTATTACATAGGCATCATTTCACTGTGAGCTGGCCAGGCTTGGGACTTTTAGTAACCATGCCTTAGAGATAAGCTAACATACAGGGGAGAAGAGGCTGAACTCAACATGGGCTTTCCATCACCTGCCCTGCAACCCGATCCCAGGTGATGATCTGTAGTGTTTGGGGTACTCTCAAGGAAAAAGAGGTTGATCAGTGGTAGAGGGAGAGGAGTGGTCCCTATTGGCTACAGCTGGGATAAGCATTAAAACATCTCTATCTGTTGTTATGTGCTGTCGTGTCACTTGTGACTCATAGCGACCCTATATACAACAGCTCTGAAACCTGCTCTATCCTGTGCCAACCTTAGTGTCTCTAACATACCTCCCCCATTACCCTCATCACTGAATCAATCTGTCTCATCAACAGTCTTCCTCTCCAATCTGTCTCATCAACAGTCTTCCTCTCCTGTTCTGTCTCTCTACCCTCCCAAGCATGATATCCCTCTCCAAGGCCTGGTCAGTCCCTCCTTGCAACATGACCAAAGTACCTCTACCTAGGCTCCATAAATGTATGGAGTGAAGCTGAAAGCAAAAGAGGAAATGTGGCAATGCGAATGTGGGGGACACGGACCAACCCATCGGAATCACTTCTGTCATTCTTGGGACCTTGGGGGGAAGGGAGCTGGGGATTACTGTCAAAGAAGTTCCAGAACATCCTCTCAGTCCCTAGGAACCAGATGGATGGGAGGCTGCCCTAAAAAAGAAACCAAATTCCCTCATTCAATCAAAAAGCTTGACCAGCATAGGGCCCAGCTACCACCTTCTCCAGAAAGTGGTCTTAGAAAGCCTTTTCTCCTCTCAGTTGTCTATAAAGCACACAACCAGACCCACTGCCATGGAATTGATTCTAACTCATGGCAACCATCCATCAGGTTTCAGAGGCAGTAGATCCTTGCAGGAGGAGACTACCTGCTTATTGTTCTTGCCCAGAGGGGCTTGAGGATTTGAACCGCTGACCTTTTGGTTAGCAGCCAAACATGCAATGTACTAAATGCCACATAATTTCCCCAACTACTGGAAAATGGGAAATTTTTTTATACTTCACTGAGCCCCTCTATCTCACATCCAAGGCAGTTCACTGGGGAGAGCAATTATCCATGTATTTCCTATCAGACTAGGGACTGTCTAAGCAAGATAGGAAGTGCCTTCCCATCAGAATGAGGCTTCTCTGAGGTCAGAGGCTGTGTTTCCTCTTAGACTGTCCTTTAATGGTGATTTCTGGCCTTTATTCAAGGCCTCTGTCTAGGTAGATTTCCTCTTATGGATGGATGCCTCTTTGAGGTTGAAGTAGACTGAGGCTTCCAACTCAACATGCTCTCCCAGTCATCCTGATTCAGCACAAACTTGCTTTTTCTTCTCTTTGACAGCTAACCTCCGGGGGTGCCTGTACTGAAGAGACACCTCTACACCTGTATGAAGGGGAATGCTGGGGGGAGGAAGCTGAGGGAAAAGCAAGCTTTCCAGGGGATCACCAGACCCCTCCCATTTCCAAATCCCCCACTTTCAAAACTGAGCCTTGGGAATTTATTTATCAACACCCTCCCCCAACACACACACACACACACACACACACACACACACACACACACACACACACAGGTGAAAGCCACTAGAAGAGAAATAAACCTGCTGTTCCATCTCGACCCAGTCTAGGCTCTGGGGCTATCAGGCCACTTGCTCCCCAAAAGCTTCTAATTACCAAAGCGCTCTATTAATATGACTTCTGACCTTTCTCGGAGATAAAAAAAGGCAGGTGAACCCCAAGTTTCCTGGGACCAAGGGGATAAAAGAAAGGTCGATAAAGCCAGAACCAGCCTTGAGGAAGAAGTGGAGAGAGTGGAGACTCACGGCAGCTTCCAGGGCTGCTGAGGATGTACGCGAGATTAGGGTGGGCAGGGAAAGCTGTGGAGGGAATGGAGGGGACCCCCGCTCTGAATGAGCCCCAACGGTAGGGTAGGAAGGAGCGGGGAGTATCCAGTGCAGGAGGGGAACGCCCCACAGAGGAGCAGGTTAAGGAGACGGGGCCCCAAAGGGAAGAAAGAGACCTAAAGAGAAGTATAACTGGGGGTGGGAAAAAAACGGGGAAAGGGAGAGGAAGCCCAGGTGGCGGGCGGCCGATCTGCAGCACGAGAAGGCAGTGCCCCCTCCCCACGAGGCCCCAGCTCGGGGCACCCGGTGCGTCTCCACGCCACCTCGGGGCGCTTTTGATGGGGGGACTTGCACCTCCTCTGCTCCCACGATCGCTACCCCCTGGGTGGCCACTTTCTCAACCCATCAACCCAACTCCCCGCCGCGCAGGAAGGAGTTAAGCCCTCTCCCCTCCCCCACGCCAGTTTTTATTAATTTCTCCAGGCGGCGGGCGGGCGAGAGGGGATTAGGGGAGCAAATCCTATCTCCGCCCCATCCCTCGCCCGCCAGCACCCCAGTCCCGTGCGACCCCCCTCGGGATAGGGGAAGAAAGATTCTTGCCGCTTTGCCCCATCCATCCCACTCCGAGCCCTCCCGCGAGCCCCCGGCCCGGCGTTCCCGCCCACCCCCGAGGCGCGGGGGTCCCGGCCCCCTCACCTCCAGCATCGGGCATCTTCATCGGCCGCTGCCTCGGGAGCCCCTCGGGCCCATGGTGCTCGCGGCGGCGGGGAGCCAAGCGGGAGAGGGGCGGGGGCCTTCACCCCGGCCGCGGGGGGCTGCGGGCGGGCTCGCTCGGCTCCATGCCGGGTGGGGGTGGGGGTCGGCGGGCAGGGTCCCGGGCTCGAGCGTGGGGAGAGAGGAGGAGGCTTGCGGGAAGCAGGCGGCGGGGCGGGGCTGGGTTGGGAGCCCTGCCGGGAGGCTGCTCGGCGTGTGCGTGTGAGTGTGTGCGCGTGTGTGCGCGCGTGTGTGTCGGTGTGTCCGTGTGTGAGCGGGAGAGCGCGCGCGCCAGCACCAGCGCCCCGCCCCCGCCCGCGGGACCCCGCCCCCCAGGCCGAGCCGCGCGCTGCCGCGTCAGCGGGGGTCCGCCGGGGTCCCCCGGGAAGGGGCGGTGCGGGGGGCGCGTGGCGGGGGGCCGGGGAGACAAAGAGCGGGCCCGAGCGGGAGGAGGGGCTCGGCGGGGAGGGCGGGGCGGCCCCCCGCGCGCCGCCGCTGGGGCTGGGGAACCCGAGTTGCCGCTACTTGGTTGCCTCGGGAGAGCGCCAGGCCGGGAAACAAGCGGGAGGCAGCCCTCCGGGAGCCCCGGGGCTCCCTCCTCCTCCTCCTCTCGAGGCCTGCGGGGGCTCCTGCATTTATTCAGCACACAGCCCCTAAATAGTGATGTGTCCGGCCTGGGCCCAGCCGTCGGGGCTCGGGGTCTAGTCATGGGGGTCAACATAAGCAGTACTTCTACACCTGGCTTCTGGCGGCACCCAGAGAGCCCCCAGGAGGGCGCCTGGTCCGACCTGGCCTGAGGGTGATCAGGGAAGATCCCGCAAGTGAGGTGATGACTGTTAGCTGCAGGTCAGGCTAGTTAAAGCGTGTCAGTGAGGCGTGGGATGCGTGGAGAGGAGGGGAAGCTGGGAGGTAGGGTGCCAGCAGGGCGTACTCTTTATCTTAAAATCATAGCGGGGGCGGGAGGGGGCCTAACAGGAGAGAGGGGCATGGCTTTGCCTTTGATGAAGAACCTTCTAGTTCCTTTATGGAGAAGGGATTGGAGAGGCTAGGAAGCCTGACACCGTTCATGAAAAGGTTAAGATGATGACAGTGAGCATGAAGATTCAAGATCTGAGAGCTGTTCAGGATGTAGAACTAAAGAGATTGACAGGACCTGGGCACTGACTGGACTTGTAGATTGAGGGAAGAGGGAAGAAGCTGGGAGCCCTGGAGGTGGAGCACGTTGGAGGTGGGGATGGATGAGATCAGAGTTGGACCTGATGAGCTGGAGGTAGTGGTGGCGGGCCAGCTAGGGAGCAAACAACCAGAAGAGGAGGGCTTAGGATGTGCCAGGCGCTGTAGTAAGCCCTATTCCTGGAATATTTCATGCCATCCTCACAGTAAATCTATGAGACAGGTGTTTCTATTACCTACTTTTTAAGCGGAGAAAACAGTGAATTGGCTTGCTTAAGAACAAATAGTAAACCTGGTTAAGTGATTCCAGAACTCAGGGGTGAGACAGAGAGGTCTAAGAAATCCCTCATAACCCATTGGAGTCTGTCATTCTGCAGGGCTGTGGAAGGTCGTATGTCCAGCCACATGGTTTTATGGCTGTGGGTATTGTGTGCCATCATTTCTGGCTTATGACAACCCTACGGGACAGATTAGAACTGAACCATCGTGATTTTTGGCTGTCATTTTTCCCAGAGCAGATCACAATGTACTTCCTCCCGTGGATCTGCTGGTTCAAGCCTCCAACGTTTTTAGCACCCGAGTGTTTAAACACTGAACCACCAAGCCTATGGATGAGGACAGAATTAATAGCTTTTAGGGGCTTAGTAGATCCAAGGAAGACCTGTAGCATTGTTTTCAGAATCTACACACAGCCATTGAGGGCTGACTTGAATGGAGAGCTGAGGAGAAAACAGTGTCCAGGAGTAACAGACTGTGGTGTCTGAGTCTTTAAAGAGAGTTATCACATAGGAAGTTCTGGTGGCCTAGTGGCAACACGCTGCTCTGTAATCCCTGAGGTATGCAGTTCAAATCCACCAGATGCTTTGCTGGAGAAGGAGGGACAATCTCCTCCTGTACCAATCAGATCTGATTTGACGGTACACACACAAACAATAAATGTTAAAAAAAGTTATCACAAAAAGAAAAAAAAGTTATCACAGTGCATAAGGGTGTGATATTCATACATTTGATACCTGGGTGATAGGCTGGGGTGGAGGGATAAAGCTTTTGCAGATCCCAAGGGGCTGGGAAATTAATAAGTGCTGGGGAGGTGTCTAAGAGAAGTTCTTTTAGACTAGGAGCAGGAAGGACCTCCTTTTCCTAGTGATACTTAATTATCTGGAAGTTAAGGAAAACTCCTGCATCTGATTTCCTTCCTTCATGGGCGGGGCATATCAGGACTGCCCATAGCCTATTCAAACAGCTCCAAACATGAACCTAGTTCATGAGGATTTCTATCTTAGGCCTGAGAAACTCACAGCAAAGCCACACATATCACCTTTGACATGCAGCACATCTAGGTTTAAACATGAAAGCCCACTTGGCCCACTTTCTGGAAAATACTAGGCACACACATTTCCTATTCAGGTCCCCCTCTTCCTACTAGACGGGACAGAGAGGGGCAGCAGGGCTCCACCCTGCATGCTTTAGCTCCGGGCAGATCAGCAAAAGCCTTTACCACAACCCCATGTCTCCTCACCCAGGAGTGTCCAACAAATTCACTTATACTTCTTGGCTGGGTTTCTGAAATAGGACTGACAAGCTTACATCTTTGACTTTGGCCTCAGTGGCCCTGGAGTTCAGTGAACTCCAATTCTGGAGCAATGGCTTATAACCGATTTTGTGATGGGTGATCACTGATCTTGGAAGTTAGCCACCTGATCTCTCTTCAGCTTTACAACCCCTGGTGTTCCAATTCCTAGGATTCTGGAAAGGTCCTAACAATTGCCCTAAAGTATAGAAGTTGGACTTTTCAATGGAAGTTATGGGGAGCCAGAGTTTGACTTGACATGAACAAGACCTCTGTTAAGAGAACCATTCCCAAAGGAGCCTTAGGAGAAGAGCTATCACTGAGAATTCTGACAGAACCCACTTATCTCAGATATTGCCACTCATCAAGATGACTTTTAAGGATCTTGATGTTGAGACATGCATTTCTTATAGCAAAAGGGGAAGGTGAGGGTTTCTTTATGGGCCAGGCTCCTAGTTTGGGCTTGTTCTCTCACACACACACCCACACCCAACTGCCCCTCCCCTCCCACTCCTGCACCCACTCCCCCCACTGGCTCTCCCCTTTATAACCAAAGCTTGTCCCCGAATTTCTGGAGTTCCAGACCTATTAGTATTAGAGCCAGCAACCAGACCTGCTGGCAAGGGACAGGTTACAAGGGATTAAAGGACTCCCAGGTCTACTGAGAAAGGGACAAATATGAGGTTTTAGGATCCTGGGGACAAAACTGTACTCCATCTCATTTTCCATTCCCAGCTGGCATCACCAGGAAACCTTTAACTCTGCAGGTATCTCACAGAGGATGCTTCATCAAGAGGAGGGGCTGGAAAGCTCCACCATTTCACATGGCGTAGAATTCCTCTTGCCACCTCTAACCCATCCTCTGAATTCTTCCGGACATCCAGAGACAGGACTATGATGGGCAGGAGGAACTTTTTGAAACTTCAGTCCTATCTATGAAAATTAAGTCAAAAGGGACATTTTCCTGCACACAGACTGACAACCCTAATGCCTTCCCCCCCTCATCCCATCCCCTCGCCAGCAAATCAAGAAACCAGGCAGCGAGGCTCTGGGGGCTGCTTTTATGGGGACGACCTGACAGAGGGCATGGTCCGTACAAAACCGGGAACAATACATACATATATATATTATATACAGAGACGCGCGGGTCCCTCGGAGGGCGGGGCAGGGGCGCCTCCTGGCCCGAGACCGGAAGCGCCCTTGGCCCCGCCCTCCTAGCCCCGCCCCCTCCATCGGCAGGGATGAAGGTGAAGTGCAGGGGTGGGGCGGGGGCGGGCACTGAGACAGCCAGCTCTTCAGGGGGTGGGGAGTACATCAGGGGCAAGAAGTGGGGCTGGGGAGGAGCAAGAAATACTGATCAATGGATGGTCTATTTACAGGGGTCAGGGACGTCAGAACAGATGAGATGGGAATTGTCTGTTTTTAAAAAAACGAACAAAATTCCAGGCTTGAGGCAGGAGGATGGGGTAAAATGAGATATTTTAGAGGGGAGGGAACCTGGGGGAAGGGTCTCACCTCCCTTGGTCCAAGCCCCAATTTGGGGTTAAAATGGGTGAAAAGAGTGGAGTTCACTTAGAAAGCAGGCTGTCAACAGGGCAGCCCTGGTCTCCAAAAATGTGAGTAGTAAAATTTCACTCTCCAGTCAAACATTGGAAAACAGGTCAGGTGGGAATGGGGGGTGAGGCTGAATCTCTGCCATGTTAGTACAAGGTTTCCAGGTGTCTCCCTTGGCAAGGCAGAAACTGGCTCTCCAGTGAGAAAAGGTCCCCTTGCTAAGACCAGTGTCCCTGCAGCCAGGCCCCCAAGCTGACCCCTCTTCTCCCTGGCATTTCCAGGGCTGGTCAGGGAACCTGGACCTGAGAGAGGCCACAGAACAATTCCAGAATGAGGTTATGGCTATTTGGCACCTGGGGAGGGGAGGCACAAGGGCTACAGCCCCAGGAAAGGGGGAGCTGCGAACCAGGTGGCCTGGACTCTCCCTTTTTTCCTACTCTCACTCTCCTGTCCCTGAAGGATAAGTGAGAAATCAGTGCAGGGCCCAGGCCCAGCCTCCTGGCTCTGAGGTGGACCTATGCCCTCCTAGGAGGGGGAATAGAGACAAGAGGGGGTGTTGAGGCCACCCCCCCAAGCAGAAGGGTCAGAATGCAATCGAGACAGCACAATGATGGGGTGAGGGGACGGCCAAGAAGGTAGAGTCTCAAGTCAAGAGGCCCAGGAGCCCAGTGGGCAGGGAGCAGCCTCCAGTTGTCAAGATGCTGGAAAAGTCCCCAGCCCCATTCCAGTCCAGAGACAAAAGGCTGGAGGTTGTAAAATCTGGCAGTTTGGTTCTGCAGGTTCTTGTGTCCATCTACCACCCAGGCCAACCCTCAGGATCCCACAGCCTCTGGTGCCTCAGCCCCATGTGGCAGGGGAGGCTGCCCTTCCAGCCACCTCTGTCTGCCCAAACCACCTTAAGGGGACCTGTGGTGTAGGTCCTCTGGTCCCTGAAGCTGGAGGAGGTGGGGTGGAGGGGTTGGGAGTTGGGGCACCTGTCCCCAGGCTGGTAGGGGGCGGGGCAGAGTATTGAGGACAGGGGAGAGAGGACATGGGAAAAGGATTAATTATTGTCCAGTCAGGGAATGATTCCTGTTAAGTAGAATTGGAATTCCTCAGTGTTTGCAGGTTTCCTTCCAGTTCTGAGATCTGGAAAACAAGAGAGGGAGGGGGTCAGGTCTGGGCCTAGATGCACTCTTATCCCTCTCCACCCGGGGGTGACATGACCCTCTTGAGCTCTAAGCCTGTAGCATGGCTCTTCCCTTCCCCCTCCAGGACCCACAAGGTGAGTGAGTGATGGGGCTGACCTGCTGCCCTTCCATAGGGCCCTGCCCTCTAGGGGAGCCCTGGGCCTACCTTGTCCAGGAGCTTGTCCATCTCCTCCTTCCTAGCCAACTCTGACTCCTCTAGAACCCGACGCTGTGCAGTCTCCTTTTTCAGGAACTCGATCTCCCTGTAGACAGACAGTGGGTAGGGTATGTGCGTGGCCTCTGGCTTCAGCCCTATCCTTAGCTTCATCCACAGATAGTTTTGTTCCTTTTTCTATTCTCAGGTCAGGAGTCGGCAGGTCTTCCCAAAGCCTTTGGGATCTTGGGCTTGACCTTGTGCTGGTTCTAGGGCCCAAGTCATCCAGGCCTTATGCATCCCCCACCATGGAGACTTCCAGATTCCATGCTCTTTGCCTCTCTGGTTAAAGGGTATGGAAGGGCTGCCACCCACACGCCCTCCCTGCCACCTCCCCTGGCTGCGTACTTCTGCTGGTAGTCCTTGATGAGGCGCTTGGCCTTGCTGTACTTGCGCTCCAGGGCCTGATACTGAGCCTGGGTCTCCCGCAGGTGCTCATCCACAGCCTGGCACAGGCTCTGGGCCTCCCCCCAGTAGCCCTCCAGCTTCTCCATGCGCTCCTTGTTCTCTTCCACACTCTGCTCCAGCTGGGCCTTCTCCAGCCGCCACCTCCCCTTCTCCTGCTCGAGACTCTGCAGCTGAGGGAGGAAGGGGCAGCCTTGGGTTGGTGGGGTCAGGGAGGGCCAAGGGACACCTCCATACTGACACTAGGGCCAAAGTCTCTGGGGGACTCATGCGGATATGAAGCACTCCAAAGGAGCCTGGGAACTGAGGCCCTGAAATGAAGGAGATAGCACCTGAGGGCGAGAACTGACAGCCGGGGTGTCCTGCATCCCATTTCCAGGGAGGCGGGAGGTCCTGTGACTAGCACCGGGACTCTGGCTTAGGCCTTAATCATTCCATCTGTGAAAAGAGATCGGGCTTAAGAGCCAAACTTTCCATTAAGTCTTAATCTTTCCATCTGTAAAAAGGGAGTGATAAGTCAAGCTCACAGGGCAGCTGAGAGTCACCATTGTTCTCTGTCCTCTTGGACTAGTCCTTCCACCTGTGCCTTTCTGAGTAATCCTGGCTCCTGCCCCATCTCTTGGGCCACCCCAGTGTAGCCTTCTGTACCCCAACAGTGCAGATCTGGGTTCTCTCCCAGTACTCACTGCCCTGGGGTGGGATCCTAACTCTCACACCACCTCCATGCACTCTGAGTAAATCATGAGCTCTGGCCCAACCTCACGCCCATTCCAGCTATGTCCCATGACTTCTCAGGACCACTACACCCCAGACTGGACCTTGCAGCCTCATAAACTCATGCCTCCATTCCTGATCTCCCCTCTGTTAAAAGGTACCATCACCACCTCCAGTCATCATGGTCCTCTGCTCTAGGAGCTTAGGAACCCTTCCTCTCCTACAAACGCCTATCTCTGTTTGTAACAACAGACCCACTGGGTTCACAGACTAGAGGGACTAAACTGCTCTTGCCCACCACAGTACCTGGAACAACGTCAGGCACTCAGAAGGGTCCCAACAGTTGTTTATAAATTGATTGCATGAAGCAACCTTGGACTTGTCCCTCATCTTCATGCTCTAGATGCATCAAAAAAACATGACTTGTCAAGTTGCCCTCTGACATGCAGCTCTTACACACCCTTGCATTCCACATCCTCTGTACTCTGGATAGTCCTGGGCCATCTCTGCCAGGGCACTGCCTGGGCCACCACCTTGCCTCCAAGTCCTGCCCACCCTCAAGTCCCTTCTACCTTCCAGGCAATGACTTTGAAAACACCTAACCACACAGCCCCATGCAGACCACAGAATCAAGGTCTGAATTCTCCATGACAGGATCTTTCAAGCCACAGCCCCTCTGGCAGTCAGTGCTGCCTCCCACATGTCCGCCTCCTCACTACTTACACCTAGTCTCTAAGCTGGAGTTCACCTTCCTGCTAGGAGCCACCTTTCCTTCTGCCTCAGTCGTCCAGGCCTTCCGTGCTCTCCAAGGCCCAGCTGCACTTTCCTCTGTCCACATGTGGTCAGTGTATATCCACGAGTAGGGTGTATAACACACATGCACATTGGGGCACTGGGTCCAGATGGTTCTGTGTAACCTTGGCCTTTCTCTCTCAACCCACTAGGAGCTCTATGTCCAGTGCTCAGACCCTAGCAGTGGCCGAATTCAAGATTTTTGTATGAAGTCTGTGCATCTCCATGTCTCTGAGCTCGTTGGCACACTGTGTGGGTGTCTGTGCATGACACATATGGATATTTGTGTATGTCACGTATGTGTCACCATCTGGCGGTATCAGCATGAGCATGTCTGTTGTTTGTACAGGTGACAATATGTATGTCCCATGACACTCTTCCTGACTGAAGAGTGGGTCTGGGATCCAGACTGACCCATTTTGTGTACTATTACTTGATTATGGCTTTGCAGAGCTGTAGGTTCTGGGTGAAGGTGTATGTTTTATGTCTGTGCTTCATACTAGAGTGGTTGGTGTGTGTGTCTCTGGGTAGCTTTCATTTATTACAGACACACGTAGAGGGCATCTGTGGAACAGCATGAACTCATACACGTCGAGAGTATGCGTGACATCAGCAGAGTAGCTAACAGCTCAACTTATACTATGCTAAGCACTCTGCCTGTTTTATCTCATTTCATCTTCACAAGGATTCCATGGTGTCAGTACTATGACTTCCCCATTTTTCAGATGAGGAGACTGAGGCACAGATCAGCCAGTGAGTGCCAAAGTACTCTACATCTGGAGCGTGAGGTCTTGACTCTGCATTCCCTTCCCTTGGAGTGGCCTGGCCTCTCCGTGGTGAGGGGTGGTATAAGAATGCTGACACGTGCGGGTGTGAGAAATGAGGAAATCTACCCACAATCAGGAGAGAATAAAATAAATGAACGGGACCCTCTAAGAATCAAATCTCTATGCATATAAAAAAATTTATCCGTCAAGGTAAAATGGAAAGTCACAGACTGGGAAAAAATATTTGGTAATGTCATATCTGATAAGGGATTCATATCTAAAATTTATAGAATACTCTTAACAGCTCAACAAGAAAAAGATAACTCAGTCACAAAATGGGTACAGGATATGAACAAACTCTTCACCACAGAAGATATTCAGATGGCAAACACACGCATGAAGAAATGTTCAAAATCCCTAGCTCTCAAAGAAATGGAAATCAAGACAACTACGAGATATCATCTCACTTCAGTTAACAATAGTAAAGTTCAACAAAGCAGCAAACAACAAATGTTGGAGAATGGAACCCTTATTCACTGCTGGTGGGAGAGCAAAATGGTACAACCAATATGGAAGGTGGTATAGCACCTCCTCAAAAAGTCAAAAATACAAATACCATTTTTATTCCTACTAGGAATAAACCCTAAAGAAACCAGAACTACTACCCAAACAGACATATACACACTCATGTTTATTGCTGCGTTATTCACAATAGCAAAGAGATGGAAGCAACCCAACTATCCATCAACAAATTAATGGAGAGAAAAACTGTAATATATTCACACAAAGGAAAACTAAACAGCACTAAAAAACAAGAAACTCATAAAATATTATATAACATGGGTGACCCTGGAAGACATTATGTTGAATGAAATATCTCAGTCACAAAAGGACAAATACTGTATAACACCGCTGTTACAAAACAGGACTGTCATAGGGGTTGGGGAAAACCAAGAAAAGAGGGAATAAATAATGAATACTGCTTTGGAACAGATGTGGAACAGATAAAGGAAAGTACTGTTTAAAAGAAACATATGATTAGGCATTATTTGTATGACAATAGTACAGAATAAGAGGTGTACAGCAAGATGAACTGTGAGGGGGAGGAAGTTATGCAACAATGAATGAATTTTTTTTAACTTATTCTTTTTTTTAAAGTGAACTGAGCAGGGAGAGAAGAAAATGTGCAACAATGAATGAATGAAAATCCAACTTTTCTGTAAACTGCAGTTAAAATCACTATTTTTTAAAAAAAATCCCATCAATAAATGAATGGATAGAGCAGCTCTGGTATATTCACACAATGGAATACTATGCAGCATTGAAAAACAAGGAACTCATGAAATATTATGCAAAACTGATGACCATAGACAACATTATTCTGAGTGAAATATCTCAGTCACAAAAGGACAAATACTGCATAGGGCCACTGTTATGAAACGGGACTGACATCAGGGTTGAGGGAAGACAGAAGACGAGGGGGTGAATGATGTATATTGCATTGAAACAGATGAGGGAGAGAACTGTTAAAAAGGGATACATGAATGGGTATTCTTGTCATTACAGAAGTCCAGAGTGAAGGCTGCATAGTGGAGTGGACTTGGCGGGGAGGGATTGCATTAACAATGAAAGAGTTTTTCTTTCTTTTCAAGAAGAGTGAATTGGGGAGGAGGGGATAGGTAGGGAGAAAAGTGCAACAATGAATGACTGGAAACCCTAAGTCTCTGTACACTTTCATTAAAATTAATTAAAAAAAAAAAAAGAAGGTGGATGAACAGGGGTGGGAAGCTATAAGCAGTAATCTTAAAAAAAAGAGGAAATCTCATCTCTCTAGCCTTAGAGCCCATTCCGTGTCTCACACACACTCACATTCTCACCTTTCTTTTCAGTTGCTGGATCTCTGCCTCCGTCACAGCATGTTTGATCTGGAGCTGTGGGGACAGGACAGGCACTCAGTTCCAGCTGGGGCAGGCTGTCCTGTAGGTCTGCCCCTGTCTTTCACACCCCAGGGAGCCCCCTTGTCCCACCTCCTTGAACTTGTGCACCAGCTTCTCAGGCTCCATGTCCACAGGGGACAGTGCATCCTCGTTCTCCGCTAGCTCGAACACCTCGATGGCCATCTCACCACCCGGGAACGTGGGACTCAGCTCCTCATCCTCATCTGTGGCATACTCTCCCGTCTGTGTAGGAAGGTAGAGGGCTGTGGACCTGGCCCACCCTGGCCTCCTCCCCTGTCATGACCCAGACTTAGACCAGCAGCAGTCTGCTCTTGTCAGATTGTAGCTACACAGGGGTATGGTTCATGCTTCTCCCATCGGTCTAAGCAGAGCCCTGGTTTGTGCTTCCCTAGTCCGTGGAGTTTACCCAAAGGGCAGTCATTTCCCTTAGCACTGGGGAAATGCACTTGTTTCCTCACTTAAGGGGTCCTCTGATGTCTGGAGCTGTCTCTCCTCAGACTGAGTTCTCTGAGATCTGGGGTTGTGTGTTCCCCTCAGAGCAGAGTGGCTTTGAGGGAACTGTCCTTTCCTTATAGGACAAATAAGACCTATAAGGATGTGAGTGCTCTCCAAAAGTCTCTGGCTTGTGTGAGGGAAAGATCTTCCCTCATAGTGGGGGCTTCTGTTTCTCTGACAGAGGTTATTTAAGGCTTCTTGGGCTGGGACATGTCACAGTGGCTGCAATGCCTCAACTAGCCACCAGGGGGAAATGACACCTCCAGCAGGTCAGGAGCCCTACCTCCTCGTCATCCTCCCCGTACTGGGAATATCTCTGCTCCATCATCTCCCGCTGCCATCGCTCCTGTTCCAGGGTCTGCTGAATTAGCTGGGCCACTTCACTCTGCTCTCCGGGTCGCTCCCGGCCAATCATAAACCTGCAGGGACACCAACATCATTAGCCTGCCCCCCGCCACCACACTCCCAGCTGGTGCTCTTCTCCTAACCCAGCTCCTCCCAAATCCACTGCTATTTCAGAGGCCACTTTGACTCCTAGCAACGCTACAGCACAGAACAGAACTGCCTCACATGGTCGCTAAGGCTGTCCATCTTTATGGGAGGAGATGGCACCTCTTTCTCCTGTGGAAGTAGCTCGTCGATTCTAACCACCAACCTTCTGGTGAACGCTTTAACCACTGCCTACCAGGTCTCACCACTGCCAGGTCTTATCCCTGGCCCTGGCCAAAACAAAAAACTAAATCCACAGGCATCAACTCAAAGCAACCCTGTAGGATAAAGAAGAACTGTCCCCAGGATTTCACTGTGCGTGGTGTTGCTATGAACTGGTAGCAACAAGGTGGTACCTAACAACGACAACAACCACCAATCTAGTTTAGTGATTTAACCACAGTGCCATCAGGACTTGCTCCCAGGGGAGGAGAAATGAAAGGGCTGAGTCCAGAGGCTGCAGGCCGTTAATAATGGATGGGGAAGCAGGCCCTTATTGGGTTTCCTTCCCAGGGGAGGCAGGAAGGCCCATCAAACCTCCTGGCCAGTTTGGGGCAAAGATAACATTATCTAAACTTCAAGCCAGGCTGCAGAAGACATAACTGAGGAACATCTCAGGTAACAGAGCTCATTTTCCAACCCCCCACCCCCCAATGCAGGGGAAGGGCCGAGGGAACCCACCCTGTGGGGCTGGGCTGTGGAGGTGTGTCTTGGGTATGTTCCAGGACTGAGCTTCAGGAAGGGGCGGGATGATGTAGATTGGAGATTAGGATGGAGAGGAAACAGTGGAACTTCCAGGCACCAGCCCCTCCTCCTTGTGGCCACCCACATCCTGTTTCTCTCCACCTCCCTTTCCTGGGGGCAATACTCCTCTTTGAGGGCTGAGTGAGGAGTGACCCCTGAATATTATGCCAGAAATGGAGGAGAGCTTGTAACCCAGTCCCCTCATTACAGGCCCTAGGAGTTTTCCCAGGATTACACAAGACCGGTGAGGAAGGAGGAATGACGTTCAGGGGGAAGGGGTCCTCAATGTGGATGGCCATCTGCCTGCACACCTCAAATCCTTTAACAGTGAGCCAGAGACAGGCAGGGGGAAAAGAGGAACGTTATCATCACATACAGAATAGCCTAAGTGGATTGTTTTGAGGGGGCAGTGGATGGTGGGCCTGTCTTGATACCAGAAGACTAGTGGTCAGCAGTAGTCAGAAAATATTTGACTGCGAAGGCAGGCCTGGGCAAAGGGAGTATAGAACAGCAATTCCTTCAGACTGGGAGTCAGTGGAACCTCTTCTCCAAAAGTGGAGGCACCTAGAACCTTGACTGGACATGCACAGGTCAGCAGAATGGCCAACGGGGCTAAGCCTCCTGCCTGCTCCCTTTTCCCTCCTGCCCCCAAGCCTCACCGAACCCGGCCCTTGGTGTTCCTAAGCACGGAAGCTGCAAAGCTCTGAGTCACTCCCACCAGACTCGTCCCATCCACCTCTACCAAGAGGTCGTTCACCTGGATCCTAAAGGAGATAAAGGTGATTAAAGGGTAAAAAGAGAAACCATGGAATTAGGGTAAGGTAGCACCCATCCAATCAGAAAGAAGAGGCTTGGTCCCCATAGGGATCTGGTACTTTGTCCATCTGTGCAAAATACAGGTCAGGGGACCAGGGGTCAGCCAGGCCCACCCATGTGGGCACTGAAACCCAGGCAAGAAAAGAGGACTCAAATACCCAGGACCGGAGCAGTGGCAGACACACGTCCTGTCACCATCACCTTGTTCCTTCCTGTATCATGCTGGACGGGAGGACCACAGACCTCATCTCTGCCTATGCACACCTGGGATGGTCCTCGTACACGTAATTCAACAAACAACTGAATCCACAACCATCCCTCCAGATGCCTGTGATGTCTGCCACACACTCTCACGTTCACTGTCCCTCCCATGACTTCACATTCTAGTTCACATGCCCCATGACGCTCCAGGTGAAGCTCTTGTCCACACGGGGAGAGAAACTGGGGTCACCCAGTCTGGCCAGCAGAGGAGACTGCAGGAGGCTGTCAGGGGGCCCTGGCCATCTCCTTCCATCCCTCGCCCTTTGAGCCCTTAGTTCACTTGCAGGACTCTCCACAAATGGAGGAAATGCCCTATTGTAAACAGCAAACCCATACTCCCATGTGGGCACGATCTCATGAACAAAACATCACACATTGAAAGTGACATATGCCCACATACTCCCTTTATCTGCCAGCAAACCACAATGGGAAAGGTTCTGGAAAGTTTAAACTTGAGGCTCTATGGGGGGCTAAGCGAAAGGCTCTCACGCGTCTCTTTTTTTTGACAACAGTCAGAAGGCCCCCAAATGAGTCAACTCCACTTCTCACAACACAACCCCAAAGCCGTCCAGACTTCAGAGACACCCATGTACCTCTGTGAGGTGCACACAGTCTAGATTTGAACAGTACACTTGATGTTAACCTTTAACTCACAACAATCCCAGGGAATGCCCTAAAGCCTGTCCTCATCCTTTCCTATGCGCACGCGAAACACACCCCCACCCACTCCCACCCACCCACCCCTACCTACCTACCTACCTACCTACCTCACATAGGACTAAAGTCAACAAAGTGACCACTGAGCTGCCTAGGAGTCCAGCTTGTCCTCCCTGCAGTCTGACCCACAGCACTCACCTGCTTCTGGCCAACGGTGCCAAACACAGACACGGTGCCAAACACAGACACTTACACCAAGAGGAAACCCTCTCAGAGCACACTCCACCCGCTTTCTAAACACCTCACACACCTGGATCCCTGCTCTCTCGGCTCCAGTCATCTCACCTGCTTTTGGCTTCCATCTTAGAACCTCTTCCCCATCCTACTCCTTCAGTGAGTGAGGCTCACTCACTCCTGCTCATGCTTCAATTTTAGCTCAAAGGTCACTTCCTCCAGGAAGCCTTCCCTGACACCAACACAGGCCAAATCCACCTGTTATACAGCCCCAAGGCATCCTGCATTTTTCCTCCACGTTACTGTTTTGTGACCACCTTGTTAAATGAGAAAATTGCTCAACTGTATGTCACCAGGCATGCAATCTCTACTCTGCCCCTCTTCCAACACTCAAAGCCAAGACACACAGCATCCACATATTCACTGTCACCAATCACATTCTTTCAGAATGCAAGAGCCGTGAGGGCAGGCTCTGGTTCCTTCTAAGCTGTACCCCTGGCTCGGGCTAGGACAGCAGCAGCCACAGCAGCACTCCATGAATACCTGAACTCCATGCGCAGAGCGCACATGCCTCCTAGGTGATGGCCCATCCCCAGGCTCAGTGACACATCCCATAGATGACAGCGGGTGTGAGGAGGGGTAGGGAGTGGGAAAGGGACCAGAGCAGGACAGCAGAAGGTGGTACCTGCCATCCCGGTGGGCCGCACCACCCTCGGTCACAGTCTTGACGAAGATGCCCAGCTTCTCCAGACCCATGTCTGCCCCGGCCCCCATGCCGATGATGCTGATGCCCAGGCCCTCGGAGTCTGCAGAGCAGAGTGATGGTCAGATCCATGGGTGTTAGGGGAGAGGAGCGGAGGAGCCCCCGGCCAAGGCTAGCAGGGGAAGGAAGGAGAGATTCCCCAGGCCACACCCCTCACTCTAAGCCATGGGCTAATATCAGCAAGTGGCGTCATGTTAAAGGGGACCTCACAGATGGGAAAGGAAAAGGTTCTGTTCACTCCCTCTTTGCAAAGTCAACTACGACAGCTGTGGAGTCACTTGCTGTCCTTTGTCTGACCCAAAACCTAATGGACGGCAGTAATAAAAAGATTTTAAAAAAGAAACAAAATCTAATGGGCAGCAGGGTCTGCTGAGAGTGCGGGGGACCAGTGGCTGTGGTGTGTACAGGTGACGATGTGGATTGGGACGGAGCTGGATGGTCATGAGGGGATGGGGTGATGGTGGCTGTTTTGTGGGTGCTTGTGCCCATAATGGAGTGGTGGGTGATGGAAGCCATGAGAAGGAGGTAGGCTGTGTGGCTGGGATGGGGTGACCATGATGGGGGGAAGTGACATGTGGCTGTGTTGGCGATGAGGTGGCAGAGCTGTGAGAAGGGCAGTGGGCTATGAGATGATGATGGGGTTGTAGCCGCTCTGATGGGCCTTGGTCCTTAGCCTCGCCCCCCCCCCCTTACCATCCTAAGCAGCCTCCTTCACACCCACAGCTTCAATGACCAAAGCCCCCGGATTTTCCCAACACACCTGCCCCTGGCTGGGTAGCTCACAGCATCTGCTGTCCAAACTCGTGCTCCTCCCCAACACTTCTGCAGTCTGGACAGCATCACCGGAATTCCTCAGCCCCCTCACAGGCTTTAAGCCAGATCATCACTGGACCCTGTCAATTCTCCATCTGTGTCTCTCTGGTTCTCCAACCTCCCACACGGCCATCACCTTATCCACACCACAATGATCTCTCTGACCATTTGTGCCCCCCACATAGCTTAAGTGCTCTTTCTAGAATACCTTTCTGCTAAAAATGGTAGGAGCCATAGGCTGTTGTATATACAGGTGAATGCAGCACTGGGATGGAGTTAGTGGGTTGTGGTTGTGAGGGGAATGGAGTAGCATGATGGGGAAGGGGTGACAGCGGTCCTTGAAGGGGTAGTGGGCTGTGGGGCTGTGATGAGGTGGAGTGGCAGCCACATCTCCTAACAACCTCTGGTCCATCTCCAGAAAAAGACAATGTCTCTCACATGATCCATACCATTCTCTTCCTCTCCCTGTTAGGACACGAGGCATCCCACATCTCCGTCTACAGAACCTGGCTAAATGTACTTTCTTGCACACAGGCCTCTCTATTCCACCTATCCTCCAATTCCTCTTCTTCAAATATCAACCACTTTCTGGGGATTCCTCACTCCCACTCCAGTTATGCCTCTTGTCAAATATCTTTACAGTGGCGCTGCTTTCCCGTGCCAGCACCTGTCAGAGTGTAAGGATGGAGTGATAAGGGACGTTCCATCAATGTCTGCTTCTCCCATCAGTCTCCCTGAGGGCAGAAACCATGCCTATTTTGCCCATCACTGGATCTCCACAACATAGTCCAACACAAAAGGCATAAATGTTCCAAAGACATTTGCTAATTAAATGAGCAAAGAATGTTCCATGACAGGGTTGGTGGCAGGTGTGAGCTTGTGATGGGCTCGAGACCAAAGTGTGGCTGTGAGGCTCTGTAAAGGGAGGGGTGGCAGTAGGGTGCCAAGGGGCTGGGCCAGAGGTAGACGCCACAGATTTGTGTGGACGTCCCTACGGAAACTGGGCAAAGCTGGCCCCAGAAAGGAGGCCTGGGTCCACCCCATCTTGTGCCCACCCTCCTGGCCTTGGTCACTCACCTTTCTCCAGCTCCACAGGGAATAGCTCCAACCTCTCCACCCGCTTCTCTAGCTCATACTCAGCAGAGGCTGCCATGGGATCCACATCCTCATTGCGACGATCATAATCCTCATTGGAGTAGGTGCTGAACACCTGCGTATATAGAGGGGCTTAGTGCCTCTCAGAGAGGCCAGGCTACTCAACTGATTCCCTCCTCCATGTGCCTCCCTGCCCAGCCCAAAGAGGCGGGAGAGAAGTCCTCATGATGACCCCAGCTCTGTGATCCTGGGCCAAGTGCTGCTGCCCCCAGGCCTCAGCGAAAGTCTTTCTAATTCTGGAGACAGAGGGCAAGAGAGAAAAGGAGCCAGCCTTGCCTGATCTACACTTGTGAGATGACATTCTCTTGTGAGCCATGACCAGCAAGAATATAGTCTGTGTAAACAGGGAGGAAGGAGGAACCTGGAGAAACAGTCAGACTCAGGTGCCCAGAGTAGAGAGACTGGCACAGAATAGCAGAGAGAACGTGAGAGGTGGGGGCCCAGAGAGCCTAGCCGACATGACCTGGACATAAGAGACACAGGTAGTGGTGGCCAACAGCAGGAGAAAGGAAGGAACAGACTGAGCAGAAGTGGGGAAGAGGAGGAGGGAGAAAGGACAGAGAAGATGCTAGAGGATGCCAGATGGGGAGGGAGGGGGGAGTTGGTGTGAGAAGCAGGGAGGCGGGCCAGGACACAGGGACAGAAGAGGCAGAGAAGCAGCCAGGACCCTAGCCTTGAAGTGAAGTCAGGTGTAGGGTAGAAAGGCATTAAGGACCAACTCCACCTCCACGAAGAAGGGCAGACCCTGCACCCCTAAGTGCCCTTCAGGTGGCAATACTGAGGGAGCATGCCAGGCCCCTAAGATTCCCTGCAGCCTCCCCTGGGCTATGCCCTCATCCCTCGGTGTACCACAGCCCCGGAGAGAGCAAGTCAGGGAGATGGCAGTCTCTCCGAACCTGTCCACAGCTGACTCCGACCTTCTGCTTCCAGTCCCTGTTTTTCTACAGAAAGGGGGATTCCTCCATTCCCATCCTCCCCTGAACTGCAAAGAGGCGAGGGTAAGACAGGAGCATGATGGGAGTGACTAATTCTAGGCCTGGGCTGGGGTACCCCATTGGGCGTCTAATGAGCACTGTTTAGACACCATGATACGATCATGCTTCACTGCCTGCAGCGACAGGTTGGCACCGCTTGGAACCAAGCAGGGGCAAGGAGGTGTGGGGAACAGTTAGTTCAGATGTGAGGCCCAAGGGGACACCAGGCTCCGTAGTGTAGTTGGATATTGCTGCCCTCGGGGCCCGTATCCAGCATCCCCTCTCTTCCGGGAGCAGGTCCCTGGGCACCCCTGTCAGCAGGAGCCCTCGGCGCCCAAGCCCTTGTTTGGATCTACTCTGTTAGCATCCTATCACCTCCCTCCCCCTTCCCACCAGCAGAGACTCTTGGAATTAGAAGCATGGCTGGGAAGGGCCTCTGGTCACCGGGCTCAATGCTCTTGATTTCACAGCATGAGAGCAACTCTGGCTTAGGCCCTTAAAGCTCACTGTCAGTCCAAGAGTGCTCCTGACATGTGACCAGTGGCCCTCTGGCCTGCTTGCTCTCAGAGCCGCTGGCAGATGGGACTTCAGAGATGCCAAGTCTATTGCCCAAGGTCACACAGGCTAGATGAGTCTGTACCAAGATGAGTTCTGGAAGGTGGGTCACTAGTGACTTGTCCATGCACATATGACATCTGTGCCCCAGGCCCCGTGACAGGCCCTGTGAGCCTGGACCCCCTAACCTGGCCCCAGCCTACTTTACATCTGAGTCCCCTGCCCCTCACACTCTGCTCTAGCAGAAAGCATCCTTGGGGGTGTCCTGGGTTCATCAAATCCTCTCACCCCATTGCATACACAGACACAAGGAAGCAGACACACACAGCATGACCTCCAGAACACACCCTCCCAGCCTGCCCTTGGCTCTGCCCATCAAGACCTGCTCACCTTTCAAAGCCCCCTCAACAAGAAGCTTGGGGCTTTGGCTCAGGGGCGATAGACCACCCTTTACTCCCCTTAAAGATGCATATCAAGATGTGCCCAATCTATTAGGGGGCTCTTAGCCCCGTCCCACTTCTAGGTGACACCTAGAAATGAGTTCCCTGCCTTGAGCCAAAGTCTCCACCTCCACAGAGGCAACAACTGGGTCATCGGTGGGCACAGACTCTGGACTTGGTGTCAGTGCAGGGTCAGGAGCAGGAAAACCAGAATCTGCTGCCCCACAGAAACCCCAGCAAGGTCACAAGTCAGCCACACAACATCCACAGTACACAACACAGGCTCACATGGCAGGGCGAGTGTCAGTGTCACCAGGGAGTCGGGAAGCACTGCTCCAAATCATGTGCTATTTTTTACCAAAAAAAAAAAAATCAGGATAATGTGTCAAATATAGACAGAGGCCCAGGGCTGAAAGACCGAATGCCACCTCTAAGGGGATCAGACTGTCCAAGAAATAAATGGTCTGGTCGTGGAGTAGGGGATGCAAAGAGGGTGTGCTGACTCCCTCAGGGGTCCTACCCCGAAACACTGGACTCCCCCACCCTCCAGGATCCCTGGGGAGGGGGAAGTACTCTTCAGTTTCAGGCCACAAAAGGGGTTAGTTTGGGAGTAGCCACCCACTTTTGACCTTCCAGACTTCTTGATGCAAATAGGGGCAGGGAAGGGTCAGAGGGACTGAGTGGAGATTCTCTGGAGCGAGCAAGAGGAAACTTGGGCAGCTTCCCTGTCCATGAGTAGTTATGGAAACCACAAGAAAACAGATGCGGGGGTGGAACGTGTTGCTGGGGAGGGGTAAAGGCTGGGCAGAGAGCTGAGGGAAGCCTAGGGGCTCAGACACTGTCAAGGAAAGTCTTGAAGCTGGCAGAGCTGAGTCTGGGCATGAGAAAGAGCCCTTGAGGCTGCGTGTGCCAGCTAAGAGCTGAGAGTGCAGCTGGGGAGACTGGGGTTCTTAGTTCTCCCCAGGGAATGTCGCACACACCCCTCCCCCTCAGCCTGCGCTGTTCTGAGGATCTCAAAGCGCTGGCACAAAGCACAAACCAATCGCCAATGGGGGGGGGAGGCCCGGGTGAACCCTCTTTCAGGGCATCCAGAGATGATGGCAAGAAGAGGCAAAGCCTGCCTGACCAAGGCCAGGTGAGTTTGTCCTTTGGAGCAGCCATGACCAGAGGCTGGGGGAGCCTCCTCCGCCAGGTGCCCTGGGATGCATGGTCTCCTCAGCGCCTCCTCTCCCTGCTCTGGAGAAGGCCCAGCCCCTGCGAGTGCCACACCAAGTGCCCCTCCGATTGAACTGGGCCCTTGGTAGCTGGCCCAGAACCGACCCCCCAGGGAACTGAGTCCCAGCCTACGCTTCCACCTAACCCAGTCATATGGTCCCTGCTCAGTGCACCCAGGCAGACCGGCTTCCTTCTTTCACTTCTGCAAAGTTGGGGTGGGGGTTCCAGGCAGGATAAAGGAAGGGATGGTGGGCCAGCAGGTCCAAAGAGGGGAAGTTAGCAGGCTCCCCTTACCTATCCAGTTCCTGACAGTGGGGGGAGTGCCAGGAGCTACCCTGCCCTCTATGTACTCAGAGTGGGACAGGGCAAATGGGGGTGAGGGTTTTCCTGGGGACACACACACATACACGCCCCCTTCCCACTATCGAACCTCTGCCCCAGGCAGCCTGAGTCTGGTATCGAGAAAGCAGTTGTCCTAGGATGGCCTGGGGCAGGGCAGAGCGCTGGGCTGGCAGGCAGCACGCAGAGGGACCTGAGGACAGGTAGGGACAGGCCAGCCCTCCCCGGGCCTGGAAATCATTCCCTCTGACAAACAGCTGGAACTCCCCCACGCCCCCCTCAGGGTGGGAACTTCAGAGAAGGGGGCTGGATGGCAGGGGCTGACTCAGCCTGCCAAACTTGGCTGGCGGGGCGGGGGCGGGGGCGCACGTGGCAGGGGCGGCGCTGGGGGGCAGGCGGGCTGGGCGAGGGGGGGTGCTCACTCACTTGGATGGGTGCAGTGCTGAAATGGATCTTCCGGCTGGGGGCCGGGTCCTCTTCCTCAGAGAGTCCCGGGATTTCCATGCACCCCGACTCGGGCTCGTAAGGGGGCTCCCCATCCTCTTCGTCCTCGTCCTCATCGTCCTCCTCCTCCAGGGCGCTGCCCCCAGAGTCCTCCCCCAACCCACTGTAAGCGCTCACATCCACCAAGTCCGCTTCTGAGAAGTCCTCCTTCTTGGACTCATCGGCCTCCTCGGGGGCCAAGTCCAGCGCCCGGCCATTGCCCACCCCTTTATCGGTCACGGTCACAGCCACTACCGCCGCCTCCTCCTCCTCCTCCGGAGCCGCCTGGGCCTTCTCCTCGGGCGCGGGGCTGGCTGCGGCTGCCACTGCGCTCCCATTCTCCAGGGCTGCGTGGACAGTCACCTCGGCCTGGATCACTTCCCCAGGCGCCGCCTCGGCCTCCGACTCCCCGCTCTCCTCCACCTCCACGGGTTTAATCTTGCGCACCTCCCGGGGCTTGGGGGGCGGCCGCGCGGGGGCCACCCGGTGCTGCGAAGGCGGCTGCCCTCCAGGGCCACGCTCCCTCTCGGCGGGGGCATCCCCCGACGGCGCGGGCGGCGGCGGCGGCGGCTGGAACACTCGGGACCGCTTACTGACCAGCTTCGAGTGGACCTGCGGAGCGCCCGAGGCCCTGGGGGGCCCGGGCCCGCGGTGCAGGCCCGTCCTCAAGTCGGCCTTCTCAAAGACGGCGCTCAGCTGGCTCACCGTCGGCGACACGGCGTCGGCGTCCAGCTTGTCCAGCGCCTCGGTGCTGCCGTTGAAGCGCACCACGACGTCCAGCTTCCGGTCCTGCAGGCCGGCGCGCTCCTGCCGGAGCAGCCGCCGCGCTGCGGCCTCCTTGTCTCCGCCGGCGACGGCGGGCACGCTCCGCTCGAACAGCTTCCGCGTCTCCTGCAGCCGGGACGGCGGGTGTGGCGGCGGCGCGGGCTGCGCCGAGGGCGCGGGCTTGGAGTCGAAACGGCTCACGCGCTCCGACACGCTGGTGCCCAGCTTGAGCAGGGCGCTGTGGTCCACGTTCTCGTTGAGGCTGCTGGCCCGCGGCAGCGACAGGCGCACGCCGCGCTCCGGCACCCTCGGGGCCTCGGCCGGGCCCGCGCCGCCGCCCGCCTCGCCCGGCGGCCCGGCCGTCGTGCCCATCTGCAGGAACATACTTTTGATGCGATGGACGTTGGAGCCATATTTCTTGTGATGGGCCGTCTTGGGTGCTTCGTCGGGCCCAGGCGCCTCGGGCGGCTTCAGCGCCTGGATGCCCGCCTCGTAGGCGCTGCGGTGCGGGGAGGCGCTCCGGAGGGGACCCCCGGGCCCCCGCGGCTCCGTCTTCATCATGGTTGGGGGAGCTGGATTAGCATCCCCCTGCTCGCGGTTTTCCTCCGCCAAGAGGCGGCTGGCCAAGCAGGGACCACCGTCCCCCTCCCCCGAGAAGAAACCCCGAGGGGCCTTTCTCCGGCTCCCCCCAAAACCAAGCTGCTAAAAACCCTGCTTTTCAAAAAAAAAATTAAAAGGGAAAGGGAAAAAAAAAATCTCCGAGCGTCCTGTGTGGGTCGCCTCCCCCAGTCAAGCTGCCAAAGGCAGTCAGACCCTCTTTAAAAGCCCGAGCAGCCTGGTACAGTCACCCCCTCCCAAAATAGCAAAGCAGCGGCTGCACCGGTGGGACCGCGCGCCCTGCCCGTGAAGCAGCGGCGGCGGCACCGGCTCACATTGTCCGAGGTGGTGTCAGCAGGGCTGGCAGCCCAGGCGGCCCCCACCACGGCCGGGGGCCTCGGCTCTCCGGGGACCGGGCATCCCGGCGCCCATGGCTGCTCCGCCGGCCCGGGCCGCTCCGCCGCGCCTCCCTCCCTCCCTCCCTCCCCCCCACGCCCCGAGCTCCGGTCTTTCTCTCGCTCTGCCCGAGCCGCGGCTGCCCAAGACCAAGCGGCTGCCCTTCTCGCCGCCGCCGCTGGGGGACTGGCATCTCTGGGTCCTAAAGGGATCGGATTTCCGGGGCCAGAGTCTGTGAGCCCACCCCTTCCCCTCCATCCGTATGAATCCCCTCCCCTGCTTGTCCCTCGCTGAGAGCCTTCCGCTGCCCCGACCTTGGCCAATCCTCTTCTACCCTTCCATTCCAACCCCTGGCTGCGATTTATCACAACCCACATAAACGCACCCCTGCTAAATACTGGGAGTAAGGCAATCTTGGTTTAAATGCGGCCTCTTCTCTCCCAAACGTGAAGGAGGATCGGTGGAGGGGGCAAAGAATCATTTCCTTCCAGATCCTCAGGGCTCCCTGATGTGATTCAAGGCCGCCATTATCAAAACTACTAGTGAAAATCCACATTTCTGGGCCCTCCCTCAAACTTTGCCAATCAGAAGCTCAAGAGGGCGGCCGGGTAATCTGCATTTTCCCACTTGCCTCCAAGAGAATTTGATGGACTCCAGTAGGGGTGAAAGCTTGGCACCGTGTTGATGACCTTAGGTTGGTCGGAGACGGGGAATGAAAAAATATGACCCCCTCACCCAAAGGGTAGGTGTTCCTGAGAGCTATTCTTTGCCCTTTGGGTGTCTACAGAGGGTGTCCCCATCACTTGCCTGCTCTGCACCCCAGGCGGAAACCTCAGAGGAGGCAGGATCGCTTTCTCTTGCCTCACTTGGAGCACTACTGCTTCTCAAGCTGAAAGGGGAGATTCAGAGAAGGAATTCTAGACCTCTGGGGCCAAAGTTGCATCAGTGAGAACCTTAGGTCTCAGATTAAAAAGGTGCAGGCCGCCTTCTCCATAAGGGCGTGGAGCAGAGAGGTGACTGGCCTACACATTCCCTGTCCTAGTATCAGCCCAGAGAGCAGGGGAGTACGCGTGCCTTCAACCTCTGTGGGGGTGCGATCCTTCTTGGGGAAGCAGTATTGGGAAGAGCGATAATCTATAATTCAAACCAAGACCCCAGCACCTCTGCTTTATTCCAAATCCCTAGAAAACGAACCAAGTGGACCTTAGGACCCAGAGAACAACTCAGGCACAAAGCCTTCCTTCCCACCCCCCCCAGCCCCCAGCTGCTTCCTGCATCTCAGGCTTTCCTGCGGCCTCTGCCTCCTCCCCCGCCCTCTTCCTCTCCATCCTCTTCCTCCTCTTCCCAGTTTTCACTCTCCCTCCTCTGGCCTGGAAGAGCTGGCAGAGAAGTCTTAGCACCCCACCAGTGTAGGAGCGTGTGTGTGTGTGTGGGGGGGGTTGTGCGACGTTAACCCATTAGCACGTGCAAAGGAGCTCGGTACAGGGGTGGGGGTGGGGTGCGGGGAAGCCGCCTGGGAACTCTGGATGTTGGGATGAGGAGGGGCCTGGAACCACAGGGCTGGTGCCACGGCTGGTGCTAAAGGGGAGGGACGATTTGGGTTCTGAGCCGGAGAGCCGGAAATGAACCCAGGTTTACCAATGCCATCTGCCTCTTAGCTGCGCTGCCCAGGAAACTGCCCTCCCCAATTTTTCACTTTGGGATTGGCTGGGTGAAGTAGCCCCTCAGGCTCCCCTTCTTCTTAACCCTTTTTAGAAGACCTCTTATGGGAACGAGCTTTGGGACTTAGGTTTCCAAGCTCAAAATTGGGGCTGGAAAACCCCCTTCCAGAGCCCCCCAGTCCCACTGTGTAAGTACGATGAGAAAATTTCAACCAGTTGGGGCTTTGGGGGCTGGGCAGAGTGTCCTTAGAAGCTCTGTGTGGGTTGGAGGAGGGCACCGGCCCCTGGTTGTTCTGCCCAGACTCTCCCACACCCTTTTATGGTGAGTCATCCCAAATAGTCCCAGCCCCAGGGGGTCTGTGCCCACGCCTCTGGCCAGGTGGGGAAGCCCCTGTGCTTCTGAGGAAGGGAAGGGTTGCTAAGGACAAGATAGCTAGCTCTGAGACCCTCACCCCAAAACACCATCTGCCAACAGCTTGGAATGAATTGAAAGTATTGGAAAGCCTGGATCTCTTCTGTCTTGAAGCTCTCAGGATGAAAGCCCTTTAAGTGCCCCCAGGATGCAAAAGGCTGATTGACTGGAGCTAATGAGTAGGATAATAATTTCTGAGACTCTAGGTTAGTTGAGCAACACCCTCAACCAGAATTCCCCCACAAGTTTTACAAAGCAATGATAAGAGTTTCCCTAAGGCCAGGCACCACTCCGGCTGGCCTTTGAAAAAGGTTGGGAATGAATGTGTGTAATTTCCCCCACCCTTCCCCTACCAGCCTGGGGCAACAGTCTCACCTGCCTGGAGAGGATTACCATCTGGTGGAGGAGTTCAAACCCAATTTTCTTTTTTCCAGCTTCAGTCCTCACCCATTTCTTTTAGATTAGCTCCCCAGTTTAATTTAATACCCTTTCCCTTTCCATTGCCCCAAACACAGGAGACCTGTTGTTGTTTGGTGTCTTTACGTACCTAGGGACCCTATGACCAATAGATCTGAACCCTGTCCTATCCTGTACCACCATCATCATCTCTGACACACTTGAGACCATTGCTTCAGTCACTGTATCCATCTCATTAAGGGTCTTCCTCTCTTTCCCGGACCCTCTGCCTTTCCAAGCATGATGTCTCTCTCCAAGGAATAGCTTTTCCTACCAACATGCCCAAAATGTGTGAGACAAAACTTGAGGCATCTTTGCCTCCAGGGAGCACTTTGGTTGCACCTTCTCCAAGATGGAGCTGCTTGTGCTTTAGCTGTTAGGTGTCAACAAGTGGGCTAGATTCATAGCTTCTCCAAACATCTGAACCTTGCCCTATCCTGTGCCATTGTCACATCCTGTATCCTGTTCAAACCCATTGCAGTAGTTACTGTATCAATCCATCTCATTGAAAGCCTCTCCTTCATTAACTCCTACCTTTCCCAGCATGGCAAGGAAACTTTGAGGGCCAAATTACCAGATGGACTTCTTTGTTTGGGTGGAAATTCTTGCTCACTTTTTCCCTCGAGATACTGGCCTGAGTCCACTATCGCCGAGAAGCCAGACTGCCAGGGTTGAAATCCTGACTCTGCCTTTACTACCTATGTGACGTTGACAAGTCACCTCCTCTCAGTTCTCTGAGAGAAGAAAATGAGGGCAGTTGGGGAAGATGTTGCTTGTGACACCAAACCAAATCAAAACTCTCGCTGTGCAGTGGGTTCCGACCCAGGGCTTCAGCAGAGTTAAACCACACCATAGTTGCTGCTCTGTCAGTTTGAGCTCCAACCTTTAGTCAAGTTCATATAGCTTTCGCCACCAGAGCTGAGGCCCTGTGCCAGCAGTCTGTGCCAAAAACGCCTGAGTCTTCTATAAGCGGAGAACGTGTCCTAGCCCTCCTCCTGAAAAAGTCCCTCCCCATTTTCCCACAACCCCCACCCCTGGGCCTGTGGAGGCCCTCTGGGAAGAATCCTTTAGTGCCATTCCTGGAGACCGGCTGGTTTCAAATACCAGGTGTGGCTGCAGAGGCGGCTGATGAAGGCAGGGAGGGACCAGATTTGTGATAAGCCCTCAGCACCCTGGGCTCAGGTCCGGCTGGATGCCCAGGCTGCCTTTTCTTCCCAGCCCTGGGGCCTTGAGACTCGGTCTCTGAAAGTGGCATTTCTGTGGTTATGATCATCTGAGGGAAGGTAGCCCAGACACTGCACTTTAGCAGCACTGGCAACCCCACGATCCTCACCCCAACAACTTTCCCCCCATCTCCCTGAGCCAGTGGTCTGGGCATCAGCTCAGGGACTGTGAAGGGTACATATGTCCATGCTCACAAGGGGAAGACCTTAAATTCAGGATGTATTTAGTGACCCTTCATTGACCCTTTCTTCCAGGAATGAGGAAGACTGAACCCCCGGAGAAAGATGTGACTTAGCCAGTAGAGAAAAGACAAACGTTCTGGGATTTAAAGAGATGGAGTTCTTAAGAAAACATCCCCAAACCGCTGCTAATGAGTAATTCTGACTCACCCTGACAGGTTTCCAGGTTGCCAGTCTTCACAGGAGGAGACTGCCCATCTTTCCCCCATGGACTGAGTCCGAGTCCCACCTGTTTGCTGAGTGACTTTGGGCCTGCCATTTCCAGTCCCTAAATCTCAGTGTCCCCAAAAAGCCCCCTGTAAATGTCTGAGTGAGTCTCCTGAGAATGAGAACTCTGAGTCTCCCGTCTTCTCTCTGTCTCTGTGTGTGTGTGTCGCGGGGGGCGGGGGGGACAACGAGGACGACATGAGTTTCAAATCCCCAACCTGCTGAAACTCTAGCACATTCCCTCATCCATAAAATGGAAGAACTACACCTGCCTTCTAGAGGACAGCTCCTAGCACAAACTAGGAGTTTGCAATGTTGCCTGACATTGCATAGGTATCAGAGCATATGTGGGTGTCTGCTGTGCTCATGTGG